TTGAGCGACCCCTACTGCAGCCTGCGCTTCCAAGGTGAGGGACCCCCCCCTTCACCCACTGATCTTTTTTGCTGTGATCCCTCCCTCCTCAGTTTCCTCCCTTTCCCTTCCGTGCCTCTCCCTCCCTCACATCTCTGTGAACCTCCCTCTCTTGAGTCCACGTTTGACAATGTTCTGTCTGCTGGCACTCACTCGGTGATAAGAGTTCGTATTTGTCGGAGAGCTTAGACGAATGATATTCTTCCACACTTTGTTGGGACGCAAACCATCAACAACTCCACGAAACGAGAATAATAAAATGAAACAACACTCAAAAAACGCACAGGTGGATCAGGGACGTATCTTGTGGACTGCAATTTATTTGGCCTCCTTCCAACTAGGCTGGTAGAAGTTGTGCAGCACATCATGAAATCTGCGCGATGTCGCGATCACGTCTCAAAAGCTCTGCCTTACAGATGTGCACACGCTGTGAGGTTGACACGAGTAAAGACCCTGTAACTAAATAAAAAAGAACTGGCTGTTATGTTATTGATAATATTGAACATTTTAACATTGCCCACAATGATATATTTTTTAATATCTATACAGCACTGTATCTTTGAAGTTTTTTGGTGATATGAGACTGTGAATACATTACTCTCTCATTTGATATCTTTCCACAACGCCTTTCCTCAACGTCTTAACAGATAAAGCGCGTTGTCAATTTGTCACTTACAGCGGTATATACTGCCACCACTTTCCGTTTATTGTACTCACTGCTCTTCCACGCATCTTTGATTCTTGCCGACGAGTTCAAGCCTTTCCGAACACTTGGACGCAACACCTTCCGCATTTGCATCCAGAAGCGTGTTTCTCTGCTGCACAGCGGGAAGGCCAACGTAGGCAGCAGTCATCGGAGTGCAGATCTGATGTAGAAAAGCCAGACAACAAAACGGCGGGACGCCTGTCGTGGTGCAACGGTCACCACGCCGGACTCGCACCGCAGAGGTCGTAAGTTCAATGTCCCGGTGCGGCAGGTGAGACAATGGCCACGTTTCTGAACCCCCCCCCCCCCCCACGACTCTGTCCACCCAGAAGTAGACATTTGTACACCACAGCGAGTCGATTGTCACCGCACGTGGTGGGGTCAAGTGTGGGTACTCCCGTTACTAAGATGCCTGGACGGCATGGAAGAGTAGGCCAAATACTATCTAGTGCTCCCTTGAGTGAAGGTCCCTTCTGTCAGCAGTGGGGCGATCGTAACGTTTCAGGGCTGCAACGCTGCACTGAAGTGCTACGCGCATGTGCTCATTGTTGTGACTATTCAAGATGATGTCACTGCTGAGCTAATACCCGAGTTGCAAATGAAGCTTGGACTACACAAATATCCCAACTTTATTCTGGAAAATCTGTCAGGACAAGTAATGTTAGTGAGCACCTATGAAGGCGCTCACCAGGATCATGCGGCAAGCGCCAGGTATGATGCTGCCTTGTCAACTTATTGTTGACACTGCCATCCCCGTGTACAACATTTTTTAGGCTGAGTTGACCTAGTGTGGGCCAAGTCAATGATCATATATCAATTCCCACAAGTGGGTATGGCCAGGAATTGGAACCTCGCTAGCTTACTCACTCGCGTCCAAGTATGGTGTGCTAACCACCAAACCACCTCTCACAAAACAACAACCACTGTTCTCCACGAAATGCCTGTAACATCACGACAATGCTTGTGCCAGGCTATGTGCACTTTAAGGCCACGCGAAGTGTTGGAGGCTCATTAACAAGAGGCCACAGGACAGAACCAGATTTTATGGGTTAACTGCCTGAGATGACTGACAGATGCACCACCTCTGCTCCCCACTGTGCCAACTTGCTGTGTTATAGCTGCCCATCGCCCCACTTGTTGTGAGCGTCACTCCTCTGCTCTCTGCTGTTGTTGGGTGGGGACCACCTCATAACTGCCCAGTAGCACCCTTCATGAGCCTCCTTCATAGAAGCCGATCTTGGCACCGTTGGTACCAGTCATCTGCAAATCCACCGCTCCACATTCACCCGTACCACATCAGTCAATCTCTACTCTAGCATATGCCACAACCATTTCGCCTACTCTACCTGGTCAAAACAGAAGCTGCTTGGGCATTCAGTGGCTGGTCATGCGGGCTACATGACCCAGTCAATGGAGGCTTGCCTGCTGTCGGAGCTCACTGGTGAGGCTGTCCCAACCATCTCTCCACACATACACACAGTGCACTGTAAACCATTGCTTCAGCCTGCATGGTATTCATCTCCCGGACACTCATTCTGCTATTAATACCCCAGTAACGTGACACTCGCCTCTGGACAGTCCCAGTTATGAGCCACTAGCAGGCTGATGGTCTATAAGTGGTATTGCTTCACTTGTGCCTCCCTTGTGCTGTCCAGATCAGAGGTTTTTCCTTTGCATAACTAAACAAAATCTTGCACTTAACACAATCTGCATGTACACAATGAAAGGCCGCAGTGTTTGATTATTTATTTTACTCGAGGGCACAGCTGGACATGTTTGTTTGTTTAGTTTGAAATTTCAGCTGAAGCTATGAATTGCTGGGGTGCAGACAGACAGTGGCTGAAACCCTGTGTGGGATATCGAGGCATTTCACAGTGTTCATGACCTTTCGTAGACAGTGCCGGTCTCACTTGCAAAGCAAAAATTTTTTCCCTATTTCAAGTACTGTATTGACAAACACTCCGACTGAACTGTGAACAAATTCCGTGCAATTGGAAGCCGTTCTGCAATGAACTCTGGGAAAATTTGTGGATGATAGATAAATGTAAGAATGTGGCCACGGACAATGGGAGTTGTGGGTAATAGGGTCGTGGAGAAGAGGAGTTATAGAAATCACTGTTTGAGATAAACAAAAATTTGCAACGAACACTTGGATCATCACAATTATAGTTGTACAGTTATTAAAATATGTCGACTGGAGGAGGAATCCGATGAGCTATGAAGCTCTTTTTCACAGATGTCCAGGAGGGGCGGGTCAGCGAGTTACAACAAAAACAATCAGCAAGCTACACCGACAAACAACGACTTTCACAGTTATGCTGTAAATATTTTATGAAATGTAGTGTCAAATATTTGGATGTGAACTAATGCAATGGTTGGCCAAGGCCTACTCTCGCAAAGCTTCAGAAATGGTCTCCGCTCCACTGTGCAGTCTTTTTAACACTTTAATTTGACGGTGAGCATTGCATTCAAGTACTGTGTAGTATTACTTACACCATGAAGTACGGCAAGACCATTGCACTCGTTTTCTTACACGAGTGATGATGTTACTGTAGTTTCAATTCACTTAAGGAACGTCATGTCCATTTTTTCTAATCTCCTAATATATTATTTATGGTGACCGGCTTCATTCGCTCAAGTGCAGATGAAGTGCGTATCACAGAGCATGGGAATGGCGACGGTGCGGGGAGACCAATGTAGCAGTGGATAGAGCAGGGCTCGGCAATCTGCTGCTCAAGAGCTGCATGCGGCGGCTCTTAAAGTGCCTGCTTCGTGACGTCTTCAAGGAACACCGTCTTGGATTCACCACAATGCATTGCGGCTCTGGAAATATTGCTTCTTTATTTTTATGCCAATTCTAAACAAGAAATTATCTTCTTGTTATTTTGCTTTGCCGACCCCTGGGAAAAACGATGGATGATGATGATGTTGATAGCCTGATCTACTACCACTGTGATTACAGGGCAAACGTTTTGTTAAACGTAGTTCAGGATGGATGGCTATCACAAACACAAGAAGACAACACAAAACCTATGCAAATATTGAAACTTGAAAGAGACATTAAAAATTTGTGTTTGTCTTGGAGGCCGTCCATAAATGACGTCACACACCTAGGGGGGGGGTCAGACATTTGTGACGGGGGGGGGGGTGAGAAATGTGACGTCACATCAAAATGCGCAACTTTAAATAGAGACAACACGTTCTACTTAATTAAATAGACTTTTTAATAAATGTTTTCTCCTGCAACATCAGAGTGCAGCGCCACATTAAATACGCACTACAATAACAATAGCTTAAAGCGATTTTAAGCATGCTTCATTTTAAAAATGGAAATATGTTTTTTTGGGGGGGAGGGGGGCAGAGTTTTGTGACGTCATATTTGAGGGGGGGGGTCTGACTTTTTGTGACGCCCTGTGACGAGGGGGGGGGGTCAAAAATCGTCCAAAATCGCGTGACGTCATTTATGGACGGCCCCTTGTACCAAATCCACAAGTTGCAGAGAAACGTCGCCTTTGCTCGGTAGCTCTCCCCTCCGTGCAGAGCCACGACGAGCAGCTCCAGATACGTCCTGGGCAGCGTGCGCGTGCCCGTGTGCGTGTGACAGCGAACAGCACTTGCCCCAACAGTCCGCGAAGGCTATACGGGTTGATATTTATCTGTATCTTTGTGACAGCATGCAGCGCGTACGGGTCGATGGCAGGTTTCCTCACGCATTAGCGCAATTACAAAGTGCACATAAAATACAATCCAGTGCCGTGCAGCATTCGTCACGCAACATTTACATGGCTGTAGTCGGACATTATTCTATTTAATGATGTACAGCGGGCCGTGCAGAAAAATCTATTGTTGTACTCTACTTCGAATGCTCCAGTTTCTCTGTTGCCGTCGTTCGCCAATCCGCAACGACCAGCGCCGCGAAGTATTTCAATAAACCCAAGAGGATGAGCACGATCAATACCAGAGATGGAGCGATGAGATTAGCTCCTCGCAAAAACCACAGAGATTGTGGCATCCCAAGACCATCCCGAATGGTGACAATCATCCAGCAGTGGATACAAAATGCATATTTTATTTATGCCTGCTATATTATTGGTTTCGTCTCAACGAAGCGTCTTATCGATAAACCTCCTGAACCTCGCAAACTCCATCCTAGCCCAGCCCACCGTCCCCGTCCGAACCCAGTTTGGAGACCAGCCAGACAGCTATCGGCTCATCCCCCCCCGCCACCAACACGCAGCACTCCCACGCGGCCGCATCTCCTGCCCACAGTCAGCTGCAAGTGTGTAGTCAGTGCTACACACAAGCATGCACAGGGAGACGCCGGCAAGCACAAACGCGGGCACAGAGTGGATTGTTATCTCGCCTCTTTGGGGAGGCGCACCCGGCCGGTGAGAGACGGCGACCTGCCCTGCTTCCAGCTGCCATGCTCCGACTTGCTATCCGCTCGGCCGCCAACCTGCCCAACGTGGAATGGTCTGGCCGGCAGAGCGACCCCGTAGCCAGTGTGGTCTTCCAAGGTAAGGGTTACGATTTGTTCGTGTCATTTCACTCGGGTGGAGTGGAGGAGCGACATTGAGTGGTTGGAGAAGAGTCGCCCCAGCGAGGTGAACTGGGTGTACGTGTACCCGATGTCGCATTGGTGAGCGGACTGCACTGTGATCCTGGTCGCCTGAGTTCAACTCCTGGCCAGCAGAGAGTGGTATCTGAAGCTGGCCTAGAGATTCCTGATGTTAGCCCAGTTTAAACGAATCAGGGGTTACGGTGTATCAGCACTTGGCAATTTGTGGCTAAGTCTGAGCTGTAATGTAATTTAGAAAACAAGATGTGTTTGTAATTTTGCTAATTTAGAATGTGGACTATGGTGCAGGCCCACAATAACGTACTGTAACAAGTGACGTTCTCCTGTGATGGGGTATTTAACATCCAGAATCAGAAGAATCAGCTGTTTGGTAATTTCTGCAGAAATAACTGGGAGCTGTTCAAGTCATATTTCTCGAGTGTTATGCTGACCTGAGCGTGAGATCATCAACTGCAAGGGACATTCGTCTAAGTGGGGATTATGGTTACTGTCCTGCACTGCAAGTGATGTAACATGGGTTTGATTCCTGACCATCCATATTCGCAGAAAATTATATTCCAGTAACTCCTCTTCTCGGCCAGCTCAGCGTCAAACAAACAACAATAATGCACAAATACATTTCATTACATTGAGTGTCACAACGTAGTGCAACTTGTAATTGTACAGTGTCTGCATGTGAGACGTACTACATTGTGTTTTGCAGGTAGACTGTGGAAGGACTTGCCCTCAAATGATTGGTTGTTTGCGTGCTCTGTTTTCAATCAGTGGCTTTGCATATAATTTACACAATGCGTTAAATATCAGAACTATGTCAATTGAAGAGTTTGCATAGAACATCTTTGAAAAACGTTATCTTTATCCATATCATGTGTTGTGAAATAAATCATTCCAGCTATCACAGCTCTGCTCTTTAATCACATTCCCAAGAGGCAGGTGTCAGTAGTCCAGTGTCATTACCCATAATGCAAAGTGAAACTGCTTCCTCATACACTATCCACGATTTGTTTTTATGTACCGGGTAAGAGGACTACAATTGCAGGTAACCCTTGCGAATAACCCCTTTAGATAACAGGATCCGCGATATTGGTCCGACCCCCGTATTTTAAAATAAATCTAACGAAAGAGAGAATTGAATTTCTCAGCAATGGGGGGTTAATGAAGGACGCCAAACGCCAACGCACGCAGATTATGCTTCAGAGACAGTGCTATCGGTTATTCCTAAGATTCAAACCACCCCAAAAATGCCATCTGCGGGGAACCTACCATACACATCATCAAGTACTCTTATTACTTGACTTTGACATTTCAGTTGGAGCAGTATGTTACAATGCTTCTGAAACTTTGAGTAATAAGTAAACATAGATTCGTGAATTATTTAGCAAAGTTAATACTAACACTGTCTTAGGCTTAAAATGTAAGTCGTATATTGCCTACAATATTGTGTAAAAGCTGACATGTTCCAGGTCTCTGCTCTTATCCACGAGGGTTCAGACAATATGAACAATGTTCCACTACCAGAATTTGGAAACAATTTGCCAATAATTCCAGGTGGCTTTATTTGATCTGCACAAAGTTTGATGAAGTAAGAGGAGTGTAGCAGAAGGATGATGGGAAGGTGTGCCGATCACCTAGGGCATGCATTTTTGTTCTACAGTATTGGAAAGAGCCCTCAATGAATTATGGCCAACGCTGTTGATGTGACTATGCATCACCATCGCTTCCTTCCTTCTGCTATATCCCACACTTTATTCTTGATGGTCTTGTTTTGCACTATGGGTTCATATCTTCTGCTTATCTCAGTTGACACCCATCCTCTAAGCTCTGGTCTAGCATCATCTGGCTTTGGATCTTCCCATTAGTTGCCAAACTCTGGGTGCAACTCCAATGTCTGTTTTGGTAACCTGCCCTTGCACATGTGCCCTACCCATCACAACCTATTTTTAATAATGCCTATAATAATTCTCTTCAGCTGCGTTCTATAGCTTATTTGCTTAGCCTCTAGTACCAATAATGATTTTATATCGCGTAATTATTGCTAATTGCATCCCACAATGTTGTACATTAATTACATATAAGGGACAAATCATATATATAGCAAATACAAAGCGAATGAAAGCCCTCAAATTTTAAAATGAACAAACAATAAATTGCACCAAAAAATGGCACACGCAACAACAAAAAGTGATCACAGCAGAGAAATTAACATCAGAGAAATTAGTCCATGAAGTCTCAACATCCCAGACCACAATCCCAACTTCTCAACCAAGACAGGAAACCTTCACAGGAAGGACGATCGAGTGCCAAAAAGACCAATCGGTCAAATGTCCAAAATGTGATTTCCTATTTATAACAACATCTCTGGATGCATAAAAAGACCTTTATATTCATTGGGTTTTTTTCGGTAAAGCCACGATGTTTCGATCGCGATATTTTGATATTTTTTTCTATGTACGTGGCTTTACCGAAAAACCCAATGAATATGAATTCCTGCAGTCACGAAAGCTTTAAGTCAAGATAAAAAGACCTTTAGTTCGAATTTGAATAATGTGATGGAGTCGATGTATCGGATGTGGAGCGGGAGGGTAATCCATGCTGTCGGAGGCTGAGCATGAGAAAGCTCGTCCCACAGTGGTTTTTAGTTTTACTTTTTGGGTGGAGAGCAAACCTAGAGACGATGAGCGGGGAACCCGGGGAGAGGAGTAGGCTGAAATCAGAGGGAAAAGATAGGCAGGGGCCAGCCCGTAAAGAATTGTGAAAGTTCTCAGCATTTTGCCACGTGCCAATACTGAAGGGCCAGAATATGTATTTACAGTTTCTGTGTTAAGGGCCAGCTCTCTGACTCATCAGTGTACAACAAACATTAATCTTTTATGCGCGTGGCAAACCACCACAATCCAAATCCAAACTCAACATGACTTACAAAATGAGTTGCTAAAGGGAACAAGACCATCCGATATTTATTTGCGTGCAATATCCCAAGTTTGCTGATCGTTTGCTTTTAAAATATAAACATGGTGGTGGGGCTCTGGTGTCACGCATTGCTCACACGTTCAGTGGGTGACTGCAGCTGAGCCCGGGGGCTATTCTGGTCCTATCTGGAGCTGGGCTACGGTGCTGTTTTTAGACGCCAATGTCGCAGGACTGTCCGTCACCAAAATACACAGCGTTTCCCTGCTGAGCTAAGGTAAATTATATGGCTCCAAAGGGACCCCCTCCCTCCCCCCAGAGTGTTTGATCCCTTACAAATTTTCGGTCATCAATCAAATCAGACCATTGGATACATTTTTGTCCAACCTCTTTTTGAACAGACGGAGATCCACTGAGATGCAGGATTGCTATTGCAGTGGAAATGTGATTGAAGGGGGTGGATATGATGGGCCAGAGGATCCAGCACGCCGTGGTGGGAGTGACAATTTTAACCCACTGGGTCGTTCCGTAAGTTCCGGACCAGGGACACATTGTAGAGGCGGGGAGTCTATAGATACCATTCCTAAGCCTCTTTCTGTCATGCTCTGGATCTCCCAAATAGTACGTGGGAGGAAGCATACAGGCGATTGTGTAAAAGGGTCTGTGAATATACACACGTGTGAGTATGTTGAACTTCTTTCGCACCACACGTAGCCAATCGGAGGTGCGGGGGAAGGACAATAAACTAAACACAGCAAGCAACAACAATTAATGTGCTGAAACAGTGAAACAGGTGTTCATTTGGGACCTTTCTTGCCAGTATCACAGTATAAGAATAGGGTTCACCCTTTCTGGCAATAAAATAGGTGTTGAGATGTTCAAGCACCAAACAGAAACCTTTTGCATGGAATCAACGTCTGCATTCGCCACATGCAGACGTGATTCCTTACAAAAGGAACATCTTAACACCTGTTTTATTGCCAGAAAGGGTAAAACCTCATATTATAAGTGTTCATTTATAAGTCAATTAGATATTGCAGTAAATCTGAAATATTCAATAGAAAAATTGTTCAGCTCATGAGGGGGGGGGGGGGGTTGCCCCATGTAGAGTGACGTCATCCGCTAATGTTTATTGGGGAGGGGTGCGGCATGTGGAGTGACGTCACCTGCTCATGATTATTAATGAGGGGAGGGGTGCGATATGTGGAGTGCGCGAACTTGTTGTGTGTAAGTGTAAATTTGTACGCGGGAATGAATATTAATGAAGGGGGGGGGGGCGCTCTTTTGCAGTGACGTCACGCACGGATGTAGCACTGTGCTGCGTAGATTAATTTTTTACCGTCACTTTCTGTAAAGAAACGTCGTATTTGAAGCGACTTTGCGTAATAAATTACTTAATTCAGCACGACCTTCCTCTGCGTTAGTGTAAAAATCCACCACTCAAGAATATTAATGAGGGGGGGGGGGTGGGCCTCATGTGGAGTGACGTCACGCGGGGGGGTGGGCCTCATGTGGAGTGACGTCACGCGCGGGACGGACAGACATTTCTGGGTGATTATCGTAGGTAATTGCCGTGCCAACCCCCCCCCCCCGCCTTGCATTTCGCCTCAGTTGGTACGGTCCAGATCTAGTGGGGGGGGGGGGGGCAGTAGTCCGCCCATCCACTTAGCCACTTCTTCCCAATTCCAGCCCGGATATTGATACCAATTAACTCACTCTGGAGAAAGCGACTCGCAAGTGTTTGACATCCGCACCTCCGATTAGCACGGTTGGCTGTGCACGGTGCGAAATAAGTTCAACACACATCCATGTATTTTACGGCAGGCGCAGTAGTTTTGCTTTGGTAATTGCCCGTGGGAAATGTTGGGCAGCTGCAGAAATTAAAACATGCACTTCACACTTGCCCATCAACGAGGATACTGGGTGTGCTAAGTTACAAAGGAAGGATTTGACCGCTTAAAAAATGCGAAACGTGACATTTCTTGAAGCTCCATTATCCATTGCCTGTTTGAAATCGACATTTTGGAACAGGTGCCAGGACAGGTGACGATACAGCTGCCCCTTGACTCACCAGTGAAGGAATGCGTTTGCTGTTCGCCACTGGATGGCTTTGTCCACCCACTCGTGGACAGCTGCCATGCCTGCCTATCCAGCTGAATTGCTTTCACCACCAGGGTGAAGTAACACGTTTGGTGCAAACACGACCGATCTGTGGTTATTTGTGGCACCGTTATACCGAGACATGAGTAGGCATGGAGCTGAATGATTCAACGTTATTCGCGTTCAGTAATTCGCCAAGCCTCCTCACCCATTCGGCTGCGAGGTGGGGATGTTATCTCCCTCGCCTGGCATGCAGGGAGTCGTGGGTTCCACCCCGATGCACTGTTGTATGTTTGGAGTTCGCGTGTTTCTCTCCCCGTGGCAGTCCATCCTCCAATCATCTCAATCAGTGGACCCACAACGCCTGGGTCTGTGCCGTGACCTCCTGCCAGCAATGAGCCTTTACAACTTCTCATCACCACACATTGCAGCAAACCCTGCCACAGACATAACCCGTGTTGGTGACATCTCTGCAGCGCAGGAGTGAACGACGCCTGTTGTTATTGTTGTTGTCATGATTGTTGTTGTTGTCATGATTGTTGCTACGTTTGAATTTCAGGTGTTAAGCGCAAGACTCGCGTCATCTCCAATGACCTCAACCCAGTGTGGAATGAGGCGAGTAAACTTTGGGCAAAAATTGTTCTCAAAAGGTCAAGTTAAGCGGTGAAACTTTTTTGAACGGTAGTTTTTGGCACTTGCAACGCTGTTAAAATGTGTCTCGGCTTAACAAAAGCATAAACACGAAGTGAAATGTGGCTATTTAAACACGCACAATTGTTCAAACCAGCGTCAAGATTAGAAATGCAGATGCACCCACTCTGTCGACTCATGGTGCTGTGGTGTAGAAGTATCACGGCCAACTAACTCGCAATCGCTCGAGTCTCACGTGCAACGTTTGCAGAGATGCAATAATAAAGACATCTGTGCTTTAGTCATTTTGCACTTTCTATACATTACGTTATGTTCACTTTGCTTTTCTGCAATTCCTTCATGTTTTTATTGCTTCAATAGGCCACGTTTTTTGTATTTTGGATGAATCACCGGCGTTGTGTTTGTTTTGGGGCTGAGTGCATCACGGCGGTTGAGTGAGCGTGGTTCATTGACACGCAGCACCGTGCTGGGATGACGTTACAGAATCGTGCACAAGCGAGTATCTTACAAAACAGATGCAACAAAATCAAATGCAAAATTGCCACAACGTCATTAAGTGTGGAACGCTGTGCAGCATATTCATACGCACGTAATGCAAATACATGAAAACCAAATACGCGGTAACTTCGGCCTTGTTTACAAAGTTTGATCTGCTGAATTTTACATTCACTTTCAACTTTGAAACACTGAAGGAAAAAAAATCCGACACTGCTCGTAACCTTCTTGTGAATAATATCATTCCAGGGGACTCACAACTTAAGAGCTATTCCCCTTCCATTACTTCGCTTTCTCAACAGACCTTTGAATGGGACCTCAAGGGCGCCACCTTGGACCCTGCATCTGAGATTCATATTGTCATCAAGGACCATGAGAAGATTGGTTCAAACAGGTGCTCACCCACATCACTTCTGGTCCGGCTGAAAGGTCTTGCTTTGAGACCATCACCCATGCCTTCATCACATCTCATCTTCGATCTCCCGAAATCCGTCATGTCCAAAGTCCAGATGATGCAAAAATTGTGCCGCTAGACTCCTCACCCGCATCCATAAATGTGACCACACCACCTCAACGCAATACCTCAGGCCCCTCAATGGCTCACAATAGAGTCCGTAGTTCTTGGTGTGCAAATGTAGGTACGTGTATGTCGTCATGTACGGTTGGTAATTTAGTTATGGACAGATAAGTGTGTGTCCGTGTGTTATACATGTTTGAGTGATATGCGCATGGCAATTAAAATGGATGTGATTGTTGCGTGTATTCCTGCGTGATTAGGTTTCTCGGCGATGCCACGCTGCCCCTAAAGGACCTCCTGTTTGCACCCAACTTTTGTGCAACTCATGAACTGCCCTTGCTGGACATGAAGAAGCAAAACAATGGGGTAATCACCCACCTAGCAACGCATTGCTTCAGTTATTCACCATCTCCCCTATCCAGATTTCCACTCAATATCGGCAACATATAAGCAGGCCCGGCATGCATAGCATTCTGGATAAATAAACATTTCATTACCCTTGGAAATACCAGCAGCACCACCTCTTACAGCCTTGTGTCCTGAGCAGCCGCCCTGATCACCCACCCCTAAGGGCTGGCCTGTCGATAAAACATCGAATTATTCAGCTAAATATACCCAAGGTTGTAAAAGTACTTGCTTAACGACTAAAAGGGGATGTTTAAGATTAATTGTCTTTCTTGATACATATTTAGTATAAAAATGTGTTCAAGACAAACTTTCATATATTTTGACTCCAATTGGCTGGAGATGGTCTGTTAAAGAAACTTTAACACAGTACCTTAATATGAGGCAAAAGCTATCCATGAACAATATGTAACCAAACATGTGTTGTTTTAGAAGGAGCCATTGCCTTGCTACTTGCTGATAGTAAATTCCGTGTACTCAGTTCCTTGCTGCTTCAATGATCACTGTGGTAAAGAGACCTCCTTTATGCTGATTATTCCTAAATAAAATAACTGGTTTTGCAGTAAAAAAAGAGTAAACGCCGAAGAGGCAGAGGCGGGCAGGTCACGGTGCCACACAACCCGTTAATGTTGTGCAGTGAGGCCTGAATAGGTGCCTGTTCACTGCATCTGCACCGACAGTGTGTCCTACCTAAATGGGGAGCCTTTGTACACACTGCTGAGTCTTGTGTGTGTTTATGTTTGGGCACATCAACAGTGGGGGAGCGGTAGTGTAGCGGTTAGTGTTCTGCACCACGAACCCGGCTCCCCGAGTTCGATTCCCCGCTCACGGCCAACGCCAGTGACAATCATCTGAATGGATCATGGGCCTCATGAGTACCTGGTGTTGTGTCTAAACATCACCACTCGGGAAACAAAGGCGGCCGGGTGTGGTGCTGGCCACCCACCCCCTCGTGTGCCATTCTGGCCTTCATAGATGCTACTCGCTAACAGCACTTGCCTCAACAGTCTGTTATGGCTACACGGAGGATCTTTTGTCTTTGCACATCAACAGGCCACAGTGAATCTGCAGGTTTGCTATTTACCCCCGCCCGGCTCCACTCCGGCGCCCACCGTTCGACCTTCAGCCATGAGAAGCTCTGGGCCAGGTGAGTAGCGGCTCACGCAGTCACCTACCTGGTCAGCGTGCTGTGCACACAGGTTTGGCTTAAGGGGGTGAACACACCAGGCAATTGCCCCGGGTGACAATCTCAATCCTTCCCTCCCGTCTCGGCAAGGGCAGTAAACTTGATCTATAGCTGTCGCTATAGAGCCATGTTTGTGTCGACAACTGCACAGAAACAACACTGTTTGCTCAAGTTGCCTGCAACACAAAGCATTCCCTGTTCACTTACACAGCGTGCGCGCATGCACACACAAACAACACATATATTGTTTTGCTTACAGCATATACAAAGTATATGAGGTATGTGTGTAACGTGAGACGATTGCAGACACACAGTGGCTGGTTAGCCTCGTAGTTTGGTGCTTGCAACTGAGCCAGTCTGTTCGGGGTTAGTGATTTACGTCGTGGTACTGTCCAGTCATTCCTGGGGGTGGCTTCACCAGAGGAACGTGACCCAGAGTGGATAATGATGTCCCCTGGAGTCATTCATAAATATAGGACACTGGGTGCCTGCTGCATGTCCCAACTACCATAATTGAAAATTACCTCCATTTGCAAAAACATTTTAATTCATAAAAATAAAAATACAACTGTCTCCCTACTCAAACGAGCACGGGGCAAGGGTAGAAATGGCACGTGGCAACGTTTAGGCCAGTCTCTTCGTAAGAAATCATTGTTGACCTGACACCAAGTGTCCATAATAGTGTCAACCCCAACGAAACGAAGGGCTGAGGCGACCCATCACAAAATTGTGTCCATCAGCGTGTGGGTAACGCACTGTAACAACAGCGACACCAAGCAGGACCTGCAGCGTCATTGCCTCTTCCTCGTAACTGGTTTGATGAAACAAAAAAAACAATGAGAGCTACTGATGTGACTCGATAACAAATGCCTAAGAAACGCATTCTCGTTTCCTCGTAATTGTATAATAAGCTATAAAAAAAATCGGCATTGTCTCCATTAAAATGTCCTATGATAGCATCTTTTCGGCAGGTGAAGAGTTAAACGAGGCTGCATAATCACGTACACACCAAGGAGACTGATTTTCATTCCGTGTAGAGAGGTGATGTAGTGGCTACCGCACTGCGCCAACCACCCCGTGAACTGTGTTTATCTCTGAAGCTGAACTGGGCCTCTTCTAGACTGACTCAGCCTAAAATGAGTACCCATTGCACTGTGCAAAGTCAGCACTGGGGAGAGGATAACAGCGAATAATGCAGCTGTGTGCCTTGTCAGCCGTAACATGCGTTCCCTAACAGCGCTTATCTAAATGAGATGGACAGGTACTATATTTGGATGCTAAAACTATATTACATTCATATAGCACCTTTCAGGATCGAGACCTCACAAAGGGCATATTTCTGAGTGTTTTCCTTGTGCAGGCAGGTACATTGCCATTCGATACACCAAGTGTCACGATCTCCTTTCAGTCAGCAAAAATTCCATTGAATTAGAGACTCAGTTTTTTTGCTGAGCTATCACAAAGCTGGCAATGTCGCCTCCACCTGCAGGGTGCTGAGCTTGCACAGACAGAGATCAAATCCAAGCAGCCACTTTCATTTAAGTTTAACACGTAGGCTTTTGCGACCAATATTATTTATAATCAACGTTTTTGGGTTAGATCGCGTTATTTATAAATGTGTCGTAACCCTCCACCACCCGACATGGCCAATCAGCAAAAAAGTGTCACGTTTTGTGGAAGCCTGAACCACAACATTTACATTTGAGTACTCAAAAATTGTAAATGTTGTGGTTTCACGCTTCAACACACCGGTGGGCTAAAGCAGTGAACTATTTGTCTTTTGTCAACGTGACACTTTTTTGCTGATTGGCCGTGTCGGGTGGTGGAGGGTTACGACACATTTATAAATAACGTGATCTAACCCAAAAACGTTGATTATGAACACTTTCATTTAAACCGATGTCTCAAGCGCAGTCAGTTGACTGTATCAGCTCAGTTACCTCTGACCGTACACACATAACAAAAAATCAAACTGAATTGTTATTGTTTTGCACGTTAAATTTGATGAAATTCTAATTCGGCTGATTTAAAATGTATCAGCGCCACTGCTGCGTGATGAAGAGTCGCTGGAGCAGAGCGTGTTGGAAAGTGGACCCTCTCGTGTCAGGAAAAACATGGTCACTTGATGAGATATCGGAAGTAGTTCTGTGATATCTACTCCCATGGTCCATTCTCCAACACACAGGATAGCTCCCTACTATGTGACATTTCCAAATGAACATTTTGTCGCATACTGCTAGAATTTGGGGGAAAAACATAAATACGAGAATAATACGCACCTATCACAATAATTGCAGAGTGTGGTGCGGATGATCTGTATTTGTGTTTGAGTTTGGCCACATCGTGGTTTTACGCCCAAATCCTTGTCACTGACCCTCCACCACCCAACAAGATTGTCCCGTTTACGAGGACATTATTCACACGTGTCAATGTGTGGGTCAAGTTCTGAGCAGTAGAGCTCCTCGCCGATGGCTTGAGGCCTTTGGTGACCGACTTCGACATCAACGGACGTTGTGGTGTGGATATGTTTGTCATCCGGAGCCTCGAGTATGAGGTTGGAGGCTCGTGCAGTAGATGGAATCGTTCTAAGCAAACGCCTATCTGCAGTGTAACTGTAATGGACAGTACAGCAAGTAGAGTTATGACAAAGGCAACCTGAGTCATGTGCATGTTGTCAGTGTCATTCCCTCGGATGGCTTTTCAATCAGCACTTAACTTTTCATTCCACATGCAAAAGTATAACTGACCAATTCCCTCAAGAAGCTTCTGAAAAAATTAATTTGGACACTTAATGAGGCTTCTGTTGATAAATAAATGCCATTATTTAGATAAATTACCAACGACTGATATCATTAATTTCTTACAATTACTCTGCTATTAGCTTCTAATAAAATTAACTATAATTAGGGATGTACCACTTAATTACAATAATTACTTAATTGTAAGAAAAATTCGAGTAAGAATATTCACTGATTGTATCATAAAACTGGGTCAATGTTTGAAAAGAGGAGCCAATGCATATCGATCTGGCTTCCTCTTCCTCTTCCCATGGCTGATGTTGATGAAGAGCAAGAACTGTGATTTCACATTGAGGCGGTTAGTGATCCAGATGATTGGGGCAGGAACGGTGCATTGCTGGGATGATGCCACCTCCTTCGTATGTTGTGAATCGGGCATTAAGTCGTTGCTAGATGCCCCATGGCTCTGTTCTGGGTGACCACAGTTTCTAATTTTACAATCGTGCATCATCAACAAGTATCCGCATCTGCTGCCGTGGTTTGTGTGGATGCACAAAAAGCCAAGTAGGGATGTGGTTTCAAATTGAAAATAAACCTAGCGTATTTTAATTTTAAGAACGCAATAAGTAATTAAATGATTCTGTTAAATGACTTTAACATTCTAAATCAGTAATCATAAACGACTTATAAAAACGCTGAGTTTGGATTGTGTCACTGAGCGCTCCCGTTTGCGCCCACACACAAGGAACACGCAACAACGGAATTGGTCACAAATCTCAACAGAAGCTCCTTGTGAAATGTCTCAATCTTTTCTGGCCACTAGATGGCACTCCACAACAAGACAAAGACCCCCCCCCCCGTGTAGCCTACACAGACTGTTGGGGCAAGTGCTGTTAGCGAGCACCTGTGAAGACTGGAACGGTACGCGAGTGGGTGGGTGGCCAGCACCACGCCCGACCGCCTTTGTCTCCCCAGTGGCGATGTTTACACACCGCACTAGGTATTAATTTGAGGCTGAGTCGACCTAGGGGAGGCCCAGAACCGGTTTAGATAATCGTCACTGGTGTTGGCCGTGAGCGGGAATCCAACTCAAATCGCCAGGTTCATAGCGCAGCGTGGTGCTTAACTGCTACGCCACCGCTCCCATAACATTCAATGTTCAACCATCATATAAAAGCGGCATCGGAGCTGGACTAGATCGAACTAACATTGGAACGAAATGTGTTACACACTCTTTAGTAAACGAGATCGTCGGTGTGCTAAACGTGAGAACTTCGTTAATTTTAGGTGACTGACTAATCTCACAGCAGTCTCGAATTAGTGTTCAGGCATGGGCCGCTGCCCATTGAACCACCTCACCCCTCTCTCGGCATGTTGCTCAATAGCCAAAAAACCATTGGCAGAATGTTTCATGTGAGACTGGCCTCTTATTGAATTACAACTCCGTGTGTGTGCATGCGTTCAAGATGTCAAGCCGTGTAGCAGATGATCATGATGATGTTGGAGCTTTGAATTAAAAAGGAAGGCGAGTCGAAGTTGACTGTGCTCCTACTCGCTGCGAAATGAGGCATCAGCGGATCCGTGACAGAGTCGGATACGTGCAGATCTATAGTGTGCGGATGTATGTTGAACTTCTTTCGCGCCGTACGTAGCCAACCGTGCACATCTGCAGTAAATGACACACCACACGCAAATACCGCGCCTCGGTTGTCGGCGCTTGATTGCCCGGTGGAGGACTTGTGCCGGTCGGACATGCGACGCCCCGCCGTGCATGTGCGCCGCAGACGGGGGAGTGCAAATAGGGAACGACGTGGACGACGAGGACGAGGAGGATGAGGAGGGAGCAGGTGATGAGGAGCATCAGCAGCAGGGCCCTGCTGCGGGAGTCCCTGCAGGGCAGGCGGCGGGGGCTGCGCGAGCCGGCGGAGCGGAGCGGCCGCCCGCTCGCGCCCCGCGACGCCGCTCCACGAAGTCGTCCTCCACTCGCGCCGTCTCCAGGAAGCCGCGGGACTTCCAGGTGATCGACGGCCGCGACTCGCGACGGCCGCGGCGTTGTCGGCCGTGGGGTTGTCCGCCGTGGGGTTGTTGGGCGTGGGGTTGTCGGCCGTGGGGTTGTCCGCCGTGGGGTTGTTGGGCGTGGGGTTGTCGGCCGCTGACAGAGGCGACTTGGATGACCCCCCCCCACGCCCCGCTGCTGCTGCTGCTCACCGCCGCCTCATGCGCACGATTGGCAGGTCGCGTGGTGGCGGTGGTGGTGGAGTAAAGTGGTGGTGGTGGTGGGGTAAAGTGGTGGTGGGGTAAAGTGATGGTGGTGTAAAGTGGTGGTGGTGGGGTAAAGTGGTGGTGGGGTGAAGTGGTGGTGGGGTAAAGTGGTGGTGGTGGGGTAAAGTGTTGGTGGGGTGAAGTGGTGGTGGGGTAAAGTGGTGGTGGCTGTGGGGTAAAGTGGTGGTGGTGGGGTAAAGTGGTGGTGGGGTAAAGTGGTGGTGGGGTAAAGTGGTGGTGGGGTGAAGTGGTGGTGGGGTAAAGTGGTGGTGGGGTAAAGTGGTGGTGGGGTAAAGTGGTGGTGGTGGGGTAAAGTGTGGGTACCCCCACCTCTTCCAAAGACGCATGTGTTCGTCTCTGTGACCGCGCTGCTGAACTAAGCCGTCTCGGTGCCGTGCAGTCGACATCGATTTGTGTTTTATAAAATATCTGCGGTGGATGCTCGGGATTTCATGGCTGGGCGCGCTAAGAACCTCGGAAGGTCGAAATATAAGACGAGGGCAAATCAGCATCGTAGACGTAATGAAAGACAGAGAGAGGGAGGAGGTAGCAACAAGTCAGAATCCGAATATGTATTTATACTGGAGGAATCCGATGAGCTGTAAAGATCTTTTTTTGACAGACGTCCAGTAAGTGGGCCACTTGCAGGACGCCAGAGAGAGAGAGAATAAGAATATGAATAAGAGAGAGAGCAGTCAACAGAAACTCAAGTCGGGCAGCAACCGCAAGGAAGAAGCAAATATTTCAAAAGTTGAATGTCCGCTGTGAAATAACGGCAGGATCATGCGAAAGCAAACTTTGGCAATCTATGGTGGCATGGGTCTCTCATGACCTCTTGATGTAGGTCCTTAATTCTGATTTCTTTGAAGTCGTCAGTCTCCGAATATACACATATATAGATCGGCAGGTGTAGCAGGTGGCGTGGTGTTTCTAAACAGCACGAGAAGGAAGATCGCTTTCGTCAAGCTGGAAAGCCGCAACTTGACAGGCAAGCATCTTGTGCAGATTCTCAGCCAAGAAAAACCAACACAACTTCCCGTTGAAAATGTGACAACGGAACGCGCCCTGGCTTTATACTCCTGGAGAGAGAGAGAGGAAGAGAGAGAGAGAGCCCCCCAACTTGTGCCACGCGTGCCCCCCTCTCTCACAACCCCACACACCAAGGTACGAATTCGGGTGATCGAGGCTCGCCAGCTGCCTGGCAACAACATCAAGCCGGTCGTCAAGGTGACGGTGGCAGGGCAGTCGAAACGCACCCGAATCAGGAAGGGGAACAACCCTTTCTTTGACGAGGTACGTCCCGACCAGCGCCGGCTTCCCACACGCGCCACCAAACACTCTTCCGCAATGGGGGCCCGCACATTGAGTCGGTGCACAAAATAATCTGTCACAACTTGACCCCCCCCCTCCCTGTGGGCACGCTGACGCACCCCCCCCCCCCCCGAATCCTATAGAACGGCCGATATTTAATCCACGCAGAAACGATCAAGGATTAATAATATTAACGTGTTTAAGCAAACAGATAGTCCACCCCCGGCTGCATTAAATAATTAAGTCGCGTGCCTTGGCCACTGATGTTGCTGAGCTGCGTGATAGCTGCAGTCAGGGGCACCGGTGGCACATGAGTGACGCCTCTCCCACAGTCCCACCTCTCCCGGCGGTAGTTGTCTGACAGCTGGAGACACTGAACTGTGGCTCATTTGAAGGCCAATGTAGACAAATTAATAGCGAGGCTTCACGCCCCCCCCCCCCCCGTTCCCTATGCGCACATTGTCAGTAGACCCCCCCATACGCAAGCGTGCACATTTGAGTTAACCCCCCTCCCTTCTCCATGGGTACGGACTCAATGTATGGTCCTTACCACAGGTGGTTAAAGAGGCGTGCATGGTAATTGCAATAAAAAAAAGCAATAACGGTACGTTTTGATATTTTCAGATTATTGAGGGTTTTTTTTTCGCTTGCTACACAATCTTTACGTGACAAACCTTACGCATTGGCTGTCGGGTAGTGATGTGTTAACGACACATTTATATTTACGCGATCTAACCCAAAAAAAACCGTTATTGTGAGTAATATTGGTCGCGAAAGCCTTCATGTTAAACTGTGACACAATCTGTATCTTGTTCTTGTATATACGCATGCATTGCTTTCAATCGAGGCCTGACTTGCAACAGAGACTTGTTACCGCAATGTTCGTTGCCACCGGCTAAAGTAATCGCTGTCAACCGCGTATCGGTCCCCCCTCATTGGCTGTCTCTGCAACGCCTTTCTCTCCTCAGACTTTCTTCTTCAACTTTCACCAGTCTTCGGCGGAACTGTTTGACGAGTTGATTTACTTCAAGGTCAGTGGCCGCGTGCCCTCAATCCCTTTGGCAGCTTCGAACTTGTGCATCACACGTTCAAGCGTCCTTGCAGCTTTTGATTATCAAACATCAACTACGATAAACATGTTTTTTTATTTTACTAGGCAAGGCCCACCGAGCTATTTCTTTTTAAGAAGCGACCTGGCCACAAATGATAGGTCAACGGTGTGCCTTATCACGTGGACATTCATAGCAGCCATATGCTCTAAAAGCATGTTGATTCTAAATGTGGAGGGAAAAACCAGAGGACCCGGAGAAAAATAAACATGAGAGACACGCAAACTCCAAATATACAGGTGTCAGGGTCGGGATCAAACCCACAACCTCCTGTATACCAGGCGAGGTAATTAACATCTCGCCATATAACACCACTTCTTAGCATCACAAATAATTAATAAAATAAATAACTGGCAGGTAAGGCATAACGTTGAGCGCTGAAATACAATAACGTCACAATTAATCTGACATTTGAGAACCAAATGTCACCCAGCAAGCATTTCATGGAAAACCTTGGACCAGCTTCAACTTGTGGAGTTTCACCAGCAAGCTGTGGCCTATCAAACGCACGCTATTGGCTAGCAAGTGCTCCCCATCAGCATTGTTGCTGTTGCTACACTAAAATTTAAAATGCAATTATAATCGAATACACTTTAAATCTGAAATCGCTGTATTGAACAGGAAGTCTCATATGGTGGTATTGCATTCAATAACCTATACGTATGAGACTGTACTATATGAATGAAAGTGCTTCACCTGCATGGGGATGGAATGGTTTATAGTGATTCAGAGTTCTGACTCAAATCAGGAAACAATCAATATTTTAACTTTGTGATGAAGGCAGCAGTCGCCAGTGGCTGCAGAGGTCTTGTGAACCCATTACAAACAACATATGTTGTTTAAGAAACATTGATTGCTATGCACGTGATTAGATCCACGTATTTTGAGCTTAGAAATTGATAATAATAATAAATGAATGAATGCATAATTACACCCTCTACTATGAATGGTTCACAGTTGGAATATGATACGTCGTGACAAACCAGACTTTAATTGTGACTGTGTTTAATAGCGCACTCATTGGTGACTGGGGTAAGAGTAAGACCATCAACTCGCTACTTTGAGAACTCAATTTAATCACCCGTGGCTGATTCGGTTGGAACACAAGAGCTCAACAGTACTGGATCAGGGCTCTGCCATGATAGGTAACCCACTGAACTACCTACCCAGTTACTCACCCCTGGAAAGTCTATCAGCCAGGCTCCATTGAATAAAATATCTGGCTAGAATTCGTTCCAATGAATAGGCTCTCTCAAGTGGACCCACCAGAATGAATATGCTGTCATAAACTGTCCTGAGATGAATGACTTTGGTGACGATGAGGTCCCTGGTAAGTAGATAACAAACGTGCTTGTGGAACCTAACGTGAGACGTTGTACCACGCAGGTGCTGCACTCCCACTCCCTGCGGGCAGATTCTGAGATCGGCACGTTCAAGGTGCGTAGCGATGCTCCGGCTCAGCAGCCACGCGCGGCCACGTAGCCCACTGAGCCGGTCATCTCGGAGTCTCTAGGAGATGCAACGGTGCCGATCGTGTCCATGTGCTCATTCTTCTGAGACTTGCACTTTTAGTTTCTTTCCTGTGTTAAACACATGGCTGGCTAACAATATATCACTTACATTTGTAACATGCCGATTCGCACGGTTGGCTACGTACGGTGCGAAGGAAGTTCAACATACATACAAGGTAGTGTTCATATTCAGAGTTAAACTTGTTGATTCTGTGATAACGTTTACTTTTCATTTCTGGCATTTGAGCGCAAGTATTGGAAATGCCGCTTTTGAGTTATCAATGCAACTATTGCTCTGTGATCTATAAAGCAAGTGGATCAATTGGGTAGATTTGGTAAAAACTAAACTTTCCACATGATCGCTCTGGATTTCAAAAATTACTGATACTATGCACGAATAGTTTTATATTCTACAATCCCTTGTAGGCCTTTGTCTTTTGTGTCTGGTTGGAATGTGACGTATATGCTGCTGCTGTTGGCAGGGTAACATTGGTATCTTATTCTCCTCTCAATGTCATGTGTCTCTGTCATTTTTCTCAGCTTGATGTTGGTACTGTCTACGATGAACCAAGTAAGTCCCAGTGTTAATATGAATGCCTCATGTTAAGCTTGATGTGCCTTTGTGGCTTCGGGAGCTAAAGCCAATGCCAGAGCACTGACGCGGCACTTCTGACACCTCATCTTCAATGAAAGCCCTCGCCAAACCATGGATAGGACAACCGCCGTTAACTTCCCACAAATTTTTGCTCAAAGTTGGGCTCGATATTTTCCAAAATAATGGCACACAGGGTGTGAGCATTCCACAATGATCATTAGGAACAAGGTCTTGAGGTATTCTGAGACCTATTTTGCGTCTTAGAGACAGTGCCACAGGCTGTAATTGCACCCAGCCGGGAATCTTCTAAACCAGGCGCAGGCAACCAAAATAACAGGAAGAGGCATTTTTTTTCCTAATTCAGTACAAAACGGATACTAACAACATTATAAACAGAATAGTAAAAGAAACGTGGCTAATCAATGCAGTAATGGATATTTACTGTACCTACAACAGCCTGTCGTTAACAGGGGCATGGTCGGTAAGTGAACACGTTGGGCTCAATGGAGGCGCCGTCGTTAAGCGATTAGTCGTTAACAGGGGTGGTCGTTAAGAGGGGTTCTACTGCACATTACGTCCCCCTGGTCTAAGCCATTGACCCGTTCATTCTGCAACACGGTTGCCGGTCCCCTCCCACGTTGCCTCCAAGGACACACGTTCCAGCGAAAGTGGCTGCTGCTCTGTGACCCAGAGGATCTGAGCTCCGGTGCCAAGGGCTATTTGAAGGTGACCCTCCTGGTGCTGGGAGCTGGGGATGAACCTCCGGTGGGTGAATTTAGCAGCACATTCATTCGCTCACTCATTCATTCACTTATTTATTAGCAGCACATTCATTCACTTATTCATTTATTAGCAGCACATTCATTCTCTCACTCATTCATTCACTTATTCATTTATTAGCATCACACTCATTCGTTCACTCATTCATTCACTTATTCATTTCAAACTTAGTGACTCGGGCCAGTGTATTGTTTTTTTTTCAAAAATTCCAACATTGAACGTCAAAGTAGTCATAATGCAATGTGGCAGTATGATCTGATCCTGTGCTTGTCAATTGTGTGCCTGAGTGGGCATGCAAGTAAGTCATTCTAATGTCCTTTTTGCTGCTAAGGTTTTGCAGCGATACACTCATCAGTGTGACGAGGCGACGTTAAAGATCTCTTGACGTTATTAAAAATACGATTAGGCCGCGTGTGCCAGCATCATTTTCCACATTCGCAAAATGTGATACATTTCTCCAAAATTACTGAATTGGAAAGCCACCGTGCTGTGTCGCCCTCTACTGGCCAGTGCTGCGTTCACCTTGTTCCGCACAAGGTACGGTATAAATATGGAGCGGTGGTGATGAGGATGATGGTGGTGGTGGTGGTGATGATGATTCGTTGACCGAGCTGGAGATATTTCTGTGCTCAGGAGGACCGCAGCGAAGCGGTGGAGGAGAGGGAGGACATTGAGAACAACCTTCTGAGACCAGCCGGCGTCTCACTGAGAGGGGCTTTTCTCACTCTGCGTGCCTACCGGGCTGAGGATGTGCCCCAGAGTAACACCCACACACACCCATAACACACCCACACCACACCCATGCCAGCCACAACCACCCATCCAGTAACAATTTAAGGGGCTGCATTGTTGTGTTGCACAGCCTCAACTCTATGAACGCCCACCACGTGTGTCATTAACACTGACTTAGAACAGAAACATTTATGGCAAGCTTACATCTCACGAAATTTTACTTCTTTAAGAGCATGTGGATTTTTATTTGTGATAAGGCAGTTTTAATTAGAAATATGATTGTTGAGTTGCGCCTGCAATAAACAGTGGTGAAGTCTGTCACTCAGACGAGCTTCTGAGCAACAAGGGGATATGCTGGAATGGGCTTCACTGCATCAACAAAGGGCCATGCAGTATGGAAGGGATGGTGGAACAAATGTGAAGGTTGTATGAGATTGTCAGTTTGTGGGTAATTACATTTACAATATGCACAATAACTGTTGCATCATTGACCACCAATGACCAGAGGTGTGGACTCGAGTCATGTGACTTGGACTCGAGTCAGACTCGAGTCATGAATTTGATGACTTCAGACTCGACTTGGACTTGCATAACAATGACTTTGTCTCACCTCTGAGGTGTGGACTCGAGTCATGTGACTTGGACTCGAGTCAGACTCGAGTCATGAATTTGATGACTTCAGACTCGACTTGGACTTGCATAACAATGACTTTGTCCCACCTCTGCCAATGACTAAGACAGAGGAGGTATCATGCAAATATTGACAAAACAAATTGGTGCACGGGATAGTCCATTGATTAGGTCAGGGGTCGGGCAACCAAAATGACAAGATTTCGGTTAAAAAAGACCCTGAATATATCAATGGTCGCAATGCACGTGAATAACGCCACGCAGCAGCAGTCGTTCAAGAGCCGCATGCTGCTCCGGAGCCGCGGGTTGCCGACCCCCTGGAGTAGGTTGTCACTACGGGGGGAAGTGAGCTGTTCATCGCCGCAAACATCGCGTGGCTTGAGCGTGACTCTGGACGACGCGGCCGTGCGCCATGCACCGCGCATCCTTTGCCCCCTGATGCCCCCAGTGGACGACGCTGTGCTGGACACCGTGAAGCAGATCTTTGGGTTCGACAGCAACAAGAAGAACCTCGTGGACCCTTACCTGGAAGTCAGCTTTGCTGGGAAAACGGTGCGAGCAGCAGTGCCCGCCACACGCAACCGACACACACGTGGCTACTCATCAGATCGCACGGCTGGTCATGCACATTGACCTTTCGAGCAAGGACGTTGGTGTGCAGCAAATGTGGGCTGCAGAGCCGGTAGACCTGGATCCCACCAGGCCGTGGTGTCTCGCCCCATGCTGAATGATAGCTATGAGAGGCCCAGGTCACCTTGGGGTACTAATCGCCACGAGTGGGCGTGACCGAGAAGTAAACGCAAGTGCTGGGATTGCAGTGATGTGTACAAACAACGATTTTGCCCCCTACAGCATGTACTGTGTATGTTGAACTTCTTCCGCAGCATACGTAGATAAGCCTGCTAATCGGGGAGAAGCAAGACAATAACAAACATACCAGGTTTCCAAATAATAGTACATTAAAGAGAATCTTAAATTTGCAAAAGCTATATCTAGTACATCACACACACACCGTATATAACTACATATAATACTGTATGTAGAAACATCCAAATTCATTGCTATTGCTGCCCAAGGAAGTTTGTTTGATTACAATGATATTTGTTGTCTCTTCCCCATGACCTCCTCAGCTCTGCACAAAGATTATTGAGAAGAATGCCAACCCCGAGTGGAATCAGGCCATTAGCTTTCCCATCCGGGTAAGTTGGTCACAATGCGGTCCCCATTGCACGAACGCACTTTGTTGTGTATATAGATTCATGCCTCGCGTTTGTCGGGATGGTGATATCTCACCACGGAGGGTTATAAGGAGGCAAATTTAGGTCACGTGGATGATTTGGTATCGTGTGTATTGGAGGGTTCATGAGTGCGTGCTCATGGTTCATGCTGCGCGTGTCCTGTCTCCCCGTACAGTTCCCCTCGATGTGTGAGCGGCTCCGCATCACGCTGTACGACTGGTGAGTCGGGGCTCCACTCATTGCAGAGATTGCATTTGCATCTGGCTGGGCGAACTTTTGCAAGGTTGCGAGTAAAAAAAAAACATCCCTGGTATGCCATTTATTCGGCTCATTGTCCAAAAGCGTCAACAAAACAAGCGCTATACTTTGTGAGAAATCAATACTGGTCACGCCATGCAGAGACTGGCACCTGCCATGGGATTGTGGAATCCATGGCCATGGCTCAGGGCAGCCCGTAGTGATGGGCACCGCCTTAATGCACGCAAGCTCGCTCACGTTTACTTGACCTATCATTTGCTGCATATCAAATTGTTTTTGCCCGTGTCCCCTGCAGGGACCGGCTGACTCACAATGATGCGGTGGGGACGGCCTTCCTGTCCATGTCTCAGATCTCTTGTCCCGGCGGCAATGAGCCAGAGGGTGAGTGGTGAGACGGTGACATGGTAGCTGGATAAGCTAGCAAGAGAAAGGCATGTGTCTTGTCAATGTGCTGGTTTGTCGCAATGTTTGTGGTTTAATGCTATTATTTACAGGTAACTGCTACAAAGTAAAATACCAATGTTCTGTCTGCTGATAAGTTATTTTAAATAGACTCCAATGATGATGATAATGATGGTGATGTCCTCATGTATTGACCCCAATCCTCTAATTTGCACGGTTGGCTATGTACGGTGCGAAAGATTAAGTTCACCTTACTCTCACATCCTTTATCACAATGCGTTGCTTATGTTTAAACCTTCTCCTTCTGATCGAAGACGAGGGTACTGGTTTCCTGCCCACATATGGACCTTGCTTCATCAACCTGTACGGCAGCCCCCGTGAATTCACCGGCTTCCCTGACCCATATGAGGAGCTCAACTTTGGCAAGGTGAAAATGTCACATGTGCACACACATGCCACACCATACACACTGATTGAGGAGCATGTTTGGTTTGATTGTAAAGGGCAGGGTGAGGTTAATTGAAGGCATGCTCTATTCAAGATGGTGAGTGTGTGACTAACTAAGGACATTTCCTGTTTAATTAGAGTGGTGAGTGTGTGCCTAATGGACGGCGTGTCACGTTTGATTGGGGTGGTTAGTGTGTGGCGAATTGAGGACGTGCCCTGTTTGATTGGCAGGGGGAGGGTGTGGCCTACAGAGGCCGCATCTTGGTCGAGTTGACAACGAAGCTGGAGGACCACATCAATAACAAGGTGGAGCCCATCCCAAGCGACGATCTCCTGCGTGTGGAGGTGACGCCGATTCAACCAGATTTCAATGACACGTTCACTACACCACAGCTCGAGATTAGACACAGCGTTTGAGTCTCGCTTGCATGTCCGAAGGAGCACAGGTTACAGACCATTAGTCTTACAAGTAAACAACATTGCCACAATAAATGTTATTGAACAAATATGTTCGATTTCTATCCCACATTTTATCCCAATTGTATTATCGCGGTCTATGGCTGTGAAACATAGCGCCCCCCTGACAGCCTTGCGCTTACAAGAAGAGCGCGGACACCAAACTAAATGTGCTCGTGATTTGATTCTCATTTTCCTCTGAACGGACGAGCCCGACGTGCGAACTGTGGTTTGCAGAAGTACCTGCGCCGCCGACGCTACAACCTGTGCGCCACCTTCTACTCGGCGACCATGCTGCGCGAGGTCAACGAGCCCATCCAGTTCGAGGTCAGCATCGGCAACTACGGCAACAAGTACGACGTGACCTGCCCGCCGCTCGCCTCCACCACGCAGTACAGCCGCGCGGTGTTTGACGGTGAGCCCACTCCCTGCCTACCCGCCCCACACACATTCCGTACTGCCTTACACCATCGATTCAACCTTCGCATATCGTGTAATATCACACGATATTCTAAAAAAGGGTTCTGGCTCCATCATCTGGCTGGATTCTTGTCTGGCTGGGTGCCGCGCTGCAAAGCGAGCGATGACGTAGCCCGCATGCTGCTCTCTCCTGGTTAAACAAAATATATATTGCAATGATCAAAAGAGATTATCCCAAGCGATACAACAACAGGGTCATGGATCAGTGGAAGAGCACTCCCTCATGCGCCAAGCCAGCCTTAATAGCTGCCCACTTATCGCATTTGCCCCAACAGGCTGAACGGTTACATGGGGAATATTTGTCTTTTTTGCATTTGTGTTGCACAGGCTGCAGCAGCTACTACCTGCCTTGGGGGAATATAAAGCCGGTGGTGACGCTCACGTCCTACTGGGAGGACGTTGGCCATCGGTTGGAGGCCCTCAACATCCTCCTGCACACCCAGCGCCGCCTGGTGGGTGCTTGTGAGCTCGCGGCGTCGGCCATCTCGTGCTGTGTCACTGCCAATGCCAAGTTGAGGCTGAGCAATCCCCCCACACTTAAAAGGTGGTCATGGAAACAAGGCCTTAGGTTTCCAACCGCAAAGAACTTAGGTTTGTTTTTTAATGTGGACGTTTTATTACGTCCTTTTTGTTATATATATATAAAAAAATCTTTGCACTTAATTTGCCTGAAGCCAACTAATGACCTAAACACCAACTGAAGCTGTATTTTTTGTGAGTGGGTTTAAACTGTGGTTTTCATCTTCATAATCATATATTTATTCATCCAGGAATGCCTCAATGGGTCTAAAAACTCGTCTTCACGACAGACTTGCATTGGTTGTTTGACCAGATCTTTTTTCAATGGGGGGGTGGGGGTTGCAGGCTAAACAGAAGAGTTCATGAACCCTTTTGCTGTACTGCCTTTGTGCCGTCTTTATGCCTTGTGGTAATGTATTGTTGACTTTGAAACAATGGAAAAGATCGTTCGAACCGCCCCGCCTCTGCCCACCCAGCAGTATAAATGGAGAGGTCGCATGTGGTGAGCTGAAGTGTGGGTATGTCACCGTCTTCCAAGACGTCTGACCAGCGTGGAAGAGTAGACCAAAATACCCTCGAGAGGGGCTCTCTAGAACGCCCTCTAGCCGAGGCCCTTCCACCAGCAGTGACGCGAGTGACCAATTGCAGGGCTGCACCTTGACCTTGCATTAATTCCTGTAGCAACATTGACCCTTAAGTGGGCGTTGTGACCATTGACACCTGGCCCTCTGGCCCCTGTGCCCCTGACCGCTGAGCAGGAGGTGAACATCGGCCGGGTGCGGGCGACTCTGCAGGCGCGGGAGCCCGTGGAGGCGGTGGCGGTCAGCTGGCTGCACGCCATCGACACGCTCATCGAGGACTGCAGGTACGTCCAGCGGGCGGCGCCAGCGCAGGCGCTCATGGGCTCCCAGGGTCCCAGAAAGGGTCTGCTGCTGCGTGGGTCGAGCGGATGGGCGATTAGAATTGGCGTGCACAGCTCGGCAAAGCCACATTGTAATATTGTGGCCTACTGGCAGGCTATTGCCCATATACAGGTCGGTGCTGTGTACCCCTTGTACCGCACAGGGGCAGCTGCCACTGAGGTGCCCTTGGCTAGGCTGCAGCAGTGGCTATTAGTTGGTTGAAATGAGATGCAATGTAAGGTGCTTACAGTCGCTGAGACATTTAGGCAGCATATACATGCAATTGCAAATCCTTATCCTTAGATGAGATTCGTTGTTTTGATACATTTATTTTGGTTATGTGAGTAAATTAAATTCACATTGAGATTCGTTTTAAAATGCAGTCGAGTGATCAATGTAAACGTAAAAAAATGCAATGATACAGACACAATGAAGTGAGACAATGGCAGAGAGAAAGAGATATTGGCAGAGAGACACACAATGACACAGAGTTGATCATTATGGTCCGAGGATCACCCATCCACACTTATTTGAGCAGGAGGTCAACTGAAGGGCAACGTGATTAGGAACGGCATTCAGTTGGAAGGCAGTGCATTTTTATTGCAATAAAAATTCAGTACATTAATACATATATGTCATATAAATGGTATGTGGTTGCCAATTGAAATAAACGACTTGATAAATGTGCTGAAGTGAAACAGGTGCACCCTTACCGAGTGTTCTGTAGGCAACCTTGGCAGATTCAGCCCACCAGCTGGAGCAAAGAAGGTGGGCTGGAACTCAAAATCACATTTCAACTCCTACTTTTCCAGCGAGCCTTGTTGTGTGCGGCTGCTACGCTGTTTCTCACGGGTTACGAGTATTTTATTTTAAGAGCTATAATTCATTGCATTTATTTATAGGTTCCCCACAGAGCGCTAATGTGGTATTTTCTCCACTTAACACTCCTCTGGTATGATGCAAATAAAAACTTGAAATAACTCCACTTACTTCACTTAAAAGTATTATAATTTCGGCACATAACTGCTCATAATGCAGATAATGATACTATGGCTTTACTTACCACATTATCTATAGGATTGATCATAAATGCAACAGTTGATCTTTGTAACCATTTCAAAGCAGGATATCTTTTTTTGTTGAATCGTCAAATTCGTAAGCGCCGAACTGCAGCCCGTAAGGCCCTCGCGTCAATCCGGACCTGCGCATAACGTACGCGTTGTGTGCGCGCGTGTTGTGCCACAGCCAGGCCCTGCCGGAGATCACGGAGCGGCCCAACGTCACTCCGCTGGACCGTGAGGTGTGGCGCGCACGCTCCGCCACGCTCGCGCTCATCCTGCGCTCGGCTCAGCGCCTGCGAGAGGAGGCGACGCGCGTCGAGGAGACGCTGTCCGAGCTCGACGATTGGCTCGAGCGGATCACAGAGCTGACGCAGGAGGTGCGTGCGTGTGTGTGGTACTCATTGTGGGCACCCAACCCGGCCTTCATAGGTGCTCACTAACAGCACTTGCCCCAACAGTCTGTTAAGGCTATACGGGAGATATTTGTCTTTGTTTGTGTGTGTGTTTCTTTATGTCGTGCAGCCCCAGAACAGCATTCCGGATGTGGTGGTTTGGATGCTACGTGGAGACCGGCGGGTGGCGTTCGCACGCATCCCGGCCCACGAGGTGATGCACTCCTCACTGGGGCCCCACGCCTGCGGCAAGAACTGTGGCATCACTCAGACCATCGTTCTCAAGGTGAACCCGCATCATCAACACCTGTGCGCACCTAAACACACACACACGTACGTGCGCACCTTAACACACACACGTACGTGCGCGCAGACATTTCTACTCGAGGTGAAGGAACGCACGGCATGCTTGGCACGTGGCCCCATTGCGGTGATGTCAGCACGGCGCGATGGTGACTGGAGGTATGCCACGTGTGCGGTGTGTGGTGTGTGCAGTACCCCCAGGACACGCAAGGGTTCAAGATACCGGGCCAAGTGCGAATGCGCATCTGGCTCAGCCTCGCCGTCGACTCTAAGAGCTTCAACGAGACGAGCGAGGGCAAGCTGGCGGTGTTCGCCGAGACCGTGAGTGTGGCACACGGCAGCACACAGACGGTCGTCACCGCATCGCGTGCTTTCAGATGCGCTTCTGCGGTCATCTGGAACATTTGTTACTTCCGATATTAGGAAGCCACTGGAGCTTTCCACTTTTCAATCCAGATTGTTTAGTTTCTTGTCCTTCTCCCACACTTCAAATTAGCACGGTTGACTACGTACGGTGTGAAATAAGTTCAACATACGTACACCGCGCCACGGGGAGCCAGGCAGCATAGGTGACCCTCTTCGTGTCTCTCACGTCTGGTTAGACGGCATCAGCCCAGCCATCGATAACTGCAACAGACCCTGTACACCAAGTTGGTGTTCAGTTTATTGACACTATCGATAGTAATTTTCAGGAGAGACCGATATGGCCAAAGAAAACAACAGGGGTTGTTGTTATTGTTGTTGGTGGGCAGCAGTCGTGGTTAGTGCACTATCCTACGAACTCGATGATTCCTGCTCACGATCAATAACAGTGAATATTTGAACCGGTCTTGTGACTCCCCCTAGATCGACAAAGGTGGCCTGGCGTGGTGCTGGCCACCCATCTCGTCAAGTGCCAATACGGTTGTCCCAACAGCAGTCTCTGAAGTCTATACGGAGTACCGTTGTGCTTGCCCTTGCACGTGCTTCTGCAGTATGAGAACCAGACGCGGCTGGCGCTCGTGGGTGGCTGGGGCACCACGGGGCTCACGCGGCACAAGTTCTCTGACGTCACAGGGCACATCAAGCTGCCCATGCACAGCTTCCTGCCGCCGCTCGGCTGGCAGTGGGATGGAGACTGGTTTGTCAGCCCGGAGCGCAGGTCAGTGCCTGTGTGTGTGTGTGAGTAGGTCGAATCAGCCCCGAATGAGCACCTGGTGCGATGTGTAAACATCACCACTGGGAGACAAAGGCTGCCAGGCGCGGTGCTGGCCACCCACCTCCGCATGTGCCGTTCATAGGTGCTCGCTAACAGCACTTGACCCAACAGTCTGTTACAGGCTATACGGGGGATCTTTATCTTTGTTTGTATGTATGAGTGTGTGCTGGGTGCAGTGGTGCACTACTGCGTAGGTGTTTCATAGTCGCGCTGTATGGCTCTCCGATGCGTTTTCGGGTCGTGCTGCGTGTTGTTCTGCACGATGTCTGACGTTTTCCACATCATCAGTAACTGAGTTTCAGTTGCTGAAGAAGTGCCCAGCACGTGGTCCCGAAGGGTGCCACAAATTGCTCACGATTTGTGCCCTTGCCTGACGTGAACCTCCGCAAAGTCGGCTCGGCCTGGGGAGTCAACTTCCCAGGCAATGTGTTGACGTCCCTTCCACGTTCGTGTGTGTGGAGCAGTTGCTCGGTAGCAGGAATTCATGTGTTATCTGTGTTTCACAACTACGTCAGCCTCCTGCACGAGGCCGATGCGGGCCACATGGAGTTCACGGATGAAGTGTTTGAGAACAACCTCCGCCTCCCCGGGGGACAGTGGCGAGCGCTTTCTGACAACTACACGGACGTGGTGAGCGCACCCCCCGTCGTTATCAACCGTCTTAATTACCGCGGGGATAATGAATGCGAGAAAGCCTTCCATCGTCAGTCATCAACCCCTGCATGCAGCAAAGTGTGTGGGTCTGCTCATTGTGCAACAGAATGGAGAGAAGCTGCCACCGCTCGCGGACATCGAGTGTCCTGCCGGCTGGTTCTGGGAGGAGGCTTGGACGGTGGACACCAAACGTGCCGTTGACGAGAGTGGTAATTTCCCCGTACAAAGACAGACATTCCCCGTGTAGGGTTTTCAGGCCGTTGGGGCAAGCGTCGTTAGTGGGCACCCCTGAAGGCGCACGAGGGTGCGGTGCCGCAAGCACCGTGCCAGGCCGCCTTTATCTCCCTCGCGTTGGTGTTTAACGCATTGCACCAGGTGCTCGGTTAGGGCTAATTCACGGCTTGTGTAGGCCATGAACGGGAATGGAACACGGGTCACCGGGTTCGTAGCACAGTTGGCTAACTGCTGCGCCACCACTGCGTGCTCACTGCCTTTCTTTGTTCTCTGCACACAGACATGCCCTCATACACACTCACATGCAAACAATGGGTATGTATACGTTCAAATCACAAGTCGGTGATCAGCTCAGCCTAACATCTTTGCAGGATTGATACATATGGGAACATTTTGTGGGATTTCGCCAGTGGTTGCTCAACGCAGAGACTGGTTGGCAGATGCGACGGCTTCGAGATGAGCGTCGGTGACGCGTGCAGGCTGGGAGTACGGGGTGACCATCCCCCCGGACTCACGGCCCCGGGCCTGGGTGCCGGCGGAGAAGATGTACCACACCAACCGGAGACGCCGTTGGGCCAGGGCGCGCAGGAGGGACACCCGCAAGGCCGCCAAGCTGCCCAGGGTACCCGCTGCTTATAAACTAAACACAAAGACAAAGACCCACCCCCACCCCGGCATAATGGCCCATTAACAGACTGTTGGAGGGAGTGGTGGCGTCGTGGTACGAACCCAGCGGCCCAAGTTTGATTCCCGCTCGCGGCCAACACCAGCGACGATGATCTGAACCGGTCATGGGACTCCCCTAGGTCGACTCAGCCTTAAATGAGTACCTGGTGCGGTGTGTAAACATTACGACTGGGGAGACAAAGGCGGCCGGGCGTGGTGCTGGCCACCCACCCCCTCGTGTGCCCTGCCAGCCTTCATAGGTGCTACTCGCTAACAGTACTTGCCCCAAAATATACACACACAGGTAAATACCCACAGGCATAGTTTGGATGTGACTCCTGGCCACTTTACCCAGGCCTGTCTACCTCCGTAAAGGTCCTTAATGATCTTGAGCAGAGAGTCAGTGACCGCATAAGTACCATCCAAAGCCTTGGCCTCAATATAGAGATAACAACGTAGGCTTTGGGCAAGTAAATTGACTACAATTACAAACGTGCGGATGCAGAAATGCAAACCCAAATACACACGCACAAAGATTATCCTTTAATCCTGGACACAATATCAATGACGGTGCTTTAAGTGGGCAGCCATGAAGGCCAGAACTGACAATTCGACACGTATGTAAGTATGTTAAACTTCTTTCGCACCGTAAGTCGCCAACCGTGCTAATCGGAGGTGCGGCACGTGTGGAGACCATTGCAAACAGTCGCTATTGTGTCCCGACCTTTTTAATGTTCACACGCCTAAAAAGGCCTGCTTTGATGGTCTTGGTGGGTGTGGTTGGAAATCACTGCGGTCACTCTGAACGCCTAGTCCACTGTGTCACAGAGAACAACTTTTGCGTCGTGTGAAACCAACTGCCGCCTTCAACGCAGTTCTCGTTCTGAATTGACACAGACTTGTGCCCGTGTGCGTGCGAGCAGCTCAAGCCCGAGGAGCAGGGCGAGGGCTGGGAGTATGCGTCGCTCTTCGGCTGGCGCTACCACCTGGAGATACGCAAGACGGACACGTCGCGGCGCCGCCGCTGGAGGAGGCAGATGGAGCCGAGCGAGAGGCACGGGCCTAGCGCTGTCTTCCAGCTGGAGGGAGCATTGGTGTGTGCCTCGGGGTGTGTGCCTAGGGGTGTGTGCCTAGGGGTGTGTGCCTAGGGGTGTGCGGAGCGGAAGTAAAGTGGTTATTGCCCTCCGCTACGAACCTGGAGACCCGAGTTCGATTCCGCTCATGGCCACCCCCAGCGACGATTGTCTGAACTGGTCCTGGGCCTCCCCTAGGTCGACTGAGCATCAATTGAGTACCTGATGTGATGCGTAAACATCGCCACTGGGGAAACAGTTCTGTCCACCCACCCCCTCGTGTGCCGTGTCATCCTTCATAGTTGCTCGCTAACAGCACTTTCCCCAACAGCAATGTGAGGCTGTAAGGGGGATCTTTGTGTTGGTATATGCAGGTGGACAGCACGTGGGATGATGACGAAGGAAAGAAGGTCTCCAAGCCTGTGCTCGGAGTCAGCTCCCCCACCATTTCTTGCATCTTTGAGCGTGAGCATCGCGTTGTATATTACACAGTCACCATGCATCGTTCACATAACCTACACAAAAAAACACAGGTGTATGTGTTCATGCATTTCGGTATACACGTACATGTGTAATTCATTCAGCGAGAGCGCAGGGGTGAGTATGACGGTCAAGGCTGATGAACTGCCCCTGTGCATCAGGTGTGGTCGTCATTAATGCACGGCGCGTTTCTCTTGCTCCAATCACAGAGGGCTACCGGTACCACCTGCGATGCTACCTCTACCAGGCGCGTGAGCTCATTGCTCTGGACAAGGACAGCTTCTCAGGTTTGTGGCACTGGCCTCGACAAAAAACCGTGTGTGAGGTTTGCCATCAGATTGAGCCTGAACAAAAGCATAGCCTGAACAAGACCATAGCCTGAACAAGACCATAGCCTGAACAAGACCATAGCCTGAACAAAACCATAGCCTGAACAAGACCATAGCCTGAACAAGACCATAGCCTGAACAAAACCATAGCCTGAACAAGACCATAGCCTGAACAAGTCCATAGCCTGAACAAGACCATAGCCTGAACAAAACCATAGCCTGAACAAGACCATAGCCTGAACAAGACCATAGCCTGAACAAGACCATAGCCTGAACAAAACCATAGCCTGAACAAGACCATAGCTTGAACAAGACCATAGCCTGAACCCCCAACAGGCCCCCTAGTGTTCAATGAGATGTGTGTGCCTCTGCTGCAAAGAGGATATCAAAGACCCTAATAGAGGTATTTAGGTTAGATCACGTAAATATAAATGCCGTTTAACGTTTGGTCGCGAAAGCCTACGTGTTAAACTGATCAAAGACCCTGTGAAATCTCACAAGAATACACAATCGTGCGATATGTCAGTGTCTGAAAACTGCAATGTAGTATATGCAGTATAATGGTACTGATTGAGTGAATGTGTCTGAATGCTTAAAGAGGCATGGGTGGATGCTCACCTCCATTGATGGCCCTAGGCCAGTGGAGGAAACTCTACATTACTATGACAGGGGCCTGTCTATCCAAAAGACTGGATGACAATGATGCCTTTACACATTTCAGCTCTGCTTTAAAAAAAAAAAACAGAAATATTGCGTGTCAATGAATGGTCACTTGTTTATACAAAACTCACTGCATGAGCTGTTTTCAAGCAATACTCTTTCATCAGCTCAGTTTAGGATGACGTTCTATGATTCTACAATAAAAATCCACCCTGTTTGTGGAGCCTTCCTTTACCTGGCACTGATTAAATGTCGTCTTTTGACTCGTACAAAAAAATCCCACTGCCAACACGACAAGGTCTCCCGGAACAATTTTCGAGCTACGCGTCCGAGCGTTTCACGGTGGGGGACAACGCAGCTGCGGGCTCGAGTAGCCTCCTGTAGGGTCACTAGATGGCAGGCGCTCCACACCACCACTCCACCGGGGAACTCCTTCCAAGCGAGGCCATCTCGGCTGACCTTCGTGCCAGTGGCTGTCGGGAGCTTACACTCGCACCCACGTGTGCAGCTCTAAATGTGTTGACTATGTAGGAAAAGGAGTTTTTTTTTATCCGGTTACATTCCGTTTGTGCTCTTAATATCCAGGTACAAATAAGCAGAGGTGTGGACTCGAGTCATGTGACTTGGACTCGAGTCAGACTCGAGTCATGAATTTGATGACTTCAGACTCGACTTGGACTTGCATAACAATGACTTTGTCCCACCTCTGAGGTGTGGACTCGAGTCATGTGACTTGGACTCGAGTCAGACTCGAGTCATGAATTTGATGACTTCAGACTCGACTTGGACTTGCATAACAATGACTTTGTCCCACCTCTGAGGTGTGGACTCGAGTCATGTGACTTGGACTCGAGTCAGACTCGAGTCATGAATTTGATGACTTCAGACTCGACTTGGACTTGCATAACAATGACTTTGTCCCACCTCTGCAAATAAGACCATGTTATATCACAACCGACATAGGTTTCATTAGCCCTGACTTGGTCTTATCATCCCACATCGCCGCTTGGCGTTGTAGGCCTTTGGGCCAGTGCTCAGAAACTGTGAGATCATGATATTTTTTCTGCGGAGAAAAGTCAGTGATTATCTGTGTCCACAGGACTGGGGAAAATAAAATAAAGTTTGCAAGCCAAAATGTAGATGTCGTTATTTGGTGCTGTAATTGGTGAAGAGGCCTAGACCATTAACTTGTTACACATGAGAGTCTGGCTTAATCCTGGGCAGCTGGCTAGATTCAAACATAGACTCTCATTTGTACGTGCTCTAAATGAACGTACCTTGTAAACCCTGTGAAATAACTTGCGGAAAATCCCGAATTTGACAAAGGCAAAACGGTAAAATCAAAGTTGAAGCTCGCGTGCGTGTCTGCGTGTTTAAATGTCGGTGGAAGTGAAGTAACTACATTGGCAGTGGTCGGGGTTGGCCTGGGCCCACCAGGCCATCATATATTTTTCTTGTGAAGCATTCTCGCTGGCTGATTAAGGTTGAGATTTAAGTTTGGGCCAAGTTTGACATGGCCCAACTCCAAGACCAGCTTACCGGCCAAATGCCCGGTTGCTTGATGGCCCAATTCAAGCCGGGAGGTGGTGTACGAGTTTCGGCCGATAACGCCTCACTGCCGTTGTCATTAGCACTGCCTTATTAACAGAAAATATAAAGTGTGCTGACACTCGAGGCAGTGACCCTCCATCAGTGGCTTTTTAGAACGGTAATGTTTTTAATAAAACGCCACATCGGTTCGTGACCGGCCCAAACGCACCAAGTCTACAGGCTCGCGCCGACGTGATTGAAAACAGTGTTTTGCCCAGAGGAAGAGCTCAACGCAAGTCGTTAATGAGCGGGCTGGCCCGAGTGTTCCACAGGTTCTCGGTGACTGTGCGAGTGTTCTATGTCGCGCTGATTGGGGCTGGACCCCGAGCGTGTGCTAACTGTGGCCTTGCTTGCACCGACTGGAGGCGACTGGTGGATACCATCACAGACCCACTGTTGCCGGCATCCCCAAGCGATGCACACGGAATGGATGCACTAATTAATTTACCAGTTTATAATTTATGAGGTCATTAAGTATGAAGAAATTGCGATTTAGAATTCCGGATAACAATTACTCATCTGATGCGTATTGATGACTGTTACTGATCAGGTGCCTGACGTTAATTCTAACGATCTTCTGAAAGAACAGATGAACATTTTCCATATTTTTTTAATGTAGGACATCAGATTTGATGGCCGGAAGGTTGGCTAGTTTAACTCAAAGGGCAAGGAACAGCTAAATGTTCTAAGTTCACCTCCCTTGCAGTGTGTTCCTAATGATGATAGAAAGAAAGCAAAGCCTGCGAACAGCTACTCGTGATTAGATTTGATGTACAGCAGTATGAGAGACAGACAAAATGTATAGATATTGCGAAAGTCATAGACAAAAAGATAGGTAATACAAGTAAATGCAAATACAAACCCACAGAGTCAGATTCAGAGAGAACTTGAGATGCAGTATGGCCAGCGCACCGGGCAAAGGGACGTGTGCATAGCTCGGCATCGAGATAGGCACTTGAATAGCTGTGATGGTGCACACGTTGCATCTCGTGCTTTGGCGATGTGGTGTATACCACAGAGGTGCTGTACGTGAGACGCTCACGTGCAAGGGGTAGTGAGGTGCGAGTTTAGGGCAGTATGGAAAGTTGGTCGCTAAGCTGTTATTCGTGGAGTTTGCACTTTCCATATTTGGGTGGATTTAGTGATATCCCAGTTGCTGGAGCACTTAAACAACAAAACCCAACTATGCACGTAATAGGTGCTCGCTAACAGCGCTAACTAGTCTGCAAGGCTAAATGGGGGGGGGCTCTTTGTGTGTGTGCGCGTGTGAGAGCTCGCACCCCCCCCCCTCCGCCTGTGCACCCGTGATTGTCGTGCGAGCACCATCAGACCCCGAGCTGGTGCGAGGTGGTGGTGCGAGGTGGTGGTGCGCGGCACAAACTCCACGCCGGATTCCTTGGCTCGACCGAGCGTACGAACGCGGATCTGAATAGGCAGAGGTAGACAGTTTATGTCCCACCTCCCCCGCTCTACGTAATATGTGTGGGAGTGTGTGTGGGATTGTGTGGGAGTGTGTGTGAGTGTGTGTGGGAGTGTGTGTGGGAGTGTGTGTGGGAGTGTGTGTGGGATTGTGTGGGAGTGTGTGGGATTGTGTGTGGGAGTGTATGTGGGATGGGGAGTGTGTGGGAGTGTGTGTGAGTGTGTGGGAGTGTGTTTGGGATGGTGAGTGTGTGTGGGAGTGTGTGTGGGGGTGTGTGAGTGTGTGTGGGAGTGTGTGTGGGATGGTGTGTGTGAGTGTGTGTGTGAGTGTGTGTGGGAGTGTGTGTGGGTGTGTGTGAGTGTGTGTGGGAGTGTGTGTGGGAGTGTGTGGGAGTATGTGGGAGTATGTGTGGGAGGGTGTGTGAGAGTGTGTGGGAGTGTGTGTGAGTGTGTGTGGGAGTGTGTGTGTGAGTGTGTGTGAGTGTGTGTGGGATGGTGAGTGTGTGTGAGTGTGTGTGGGAGTGTGTGTGAGTGTATGTGGGAGTGTGTGCGAGTGTGTGTGGGAGTGTGTGGGAGTATGTGGGAGTATGTGTGGGAGGGTGTGTGAGAGTGTGTGGGAGTGTGTGTGAGTGTGTGTGGGAGTGTGGGATGGTGAGTGTGTGTGTGGGAGTGTGGGATGGTTAGTGTGTGTGTGGGAGTGTGTGTGGGATGGTGAATGTGTGTGAGTGTGTGTGGGATGGTGAGTGTGTGTGTGTGGGAGTGTGTGTGTGAGTGTGTGGGATAGTGAGTGAGTGTGTGTGTGAGTGTGTGTGTGTGGCGCCGTCCAGGGAGGTGGCGCTGGGGAGCGGGGACGTCGGCCCCGTGGTTTACAGTGAGAAAGGTTTCGAGGTCAATTGACTCTCGCGGTGTAAGCGGCCTGCCTGGCAGCGCGACGAGACATCATACGCCAGACTGTTATTTGTACGACCCCAATACCAATACCGGGTGCAGAGGCTACGCGGTGCTGAGCCGTGTGCGTGCGCGTCTGTGTGTCTCACAAAACAACAAAACAACTTAAAAGGGCACTGGGGAGTTTTAGATCCAAGGTTCTCACGTGGTTTTCAGAATTTGGAGACGGGCATAAATATCGGAGTGGGAGTGGAGTGCAGCTATTATTTGCCTGTGTCTGCATCTGCGCAACTACAGAGATTCGCTTTCACCTTGGAGACATTCGCAGACATGTCTGTAAGCGATGACCAATGCAGCTTAAGTGGTGAAGGGTTGGTTTGGCCAATAGCACACTTTTCTTGCTTACTAGCTTTTCCCACTATCGATGTTCACACACAATCAGTTACTGATTTTAGGCTGGGTTGGCCTAAGTGAGAATCAGGTTTGGTTCTAATACCAAAGGCTATTGGCAATCTCCTAGTCTAGCACACTACCCTCTCCTGGCCTACCAGGATCATAGGACTCTGCTGTAGCCACTCGGTATATGTGAGTATATATGTATATGTACATTTCTTGCTTACTAATGCTGTTTTAAGAAACATTTTGGCAGCTGGATTTCAGTGAGCGTACTGCAAGCTCATTTCGCACTTTGGGCAAGACAGTCACCAGATGATGATTATTCTGCAGAATATCAAAGTATGAATTATTTTAAAATGGACATTAAAGGCACGGTGCGGTCATTTGCAAGAGTCGGCTATTGTGTGTTTCGTCATTGCCTCATGGCTTATATCCCGCATGTGAGATCAGATGCAATTAGGTTGCTAAAATAACGTCTGTCCTCACATAGTTGTGGTCTTTCAAGTCTAATTTGCTAATGAGGTAATCACGAATTTCCATGGGTCCTCAGAATAAACGCTTAAAGGAATTGATTTCAGAATGATAATGTGCACTCTGCACACAAACTTAGCATATGTTCATTATCTATATGTAGATTTTCCAAAACAGTTTTTTTTTGATAATAAGAAAACATCAACAACACAACTTTGTTCTAAGGAACGTAGGGTTGTTTTAACACAATTATGACCATTTAGAAGGGATATTGCCCATGCAAATTGTTCACGTAGCTAAAAAGAGTAGGATTGAGATAACTTTTCAAACTTGTGTTTTCACTACATTTATAAATGTCCTCTACTTCACCTCTTTCTCTCTTACCCTCTCCTTGACCCCCCCCCCCCCTTGTACCCCCACCTACGATCCTCCCTTCTCGCCCTCCTCTGTCTCCGTCTCTCTGTGTCTCCCTCTCTCTGTGTGTCCCTCTCTTTATGCGCACCGGCCTAGGCGACAGCGTGCTCGCGTACTCACGCGCGGCCTCCCCTCCATCGCCAGTCAGATTTGCGACACTTGCTGCCATTTAGCGCCACAAATCCCCGGCTAGCGGACAGCTTTACGGAGCCAGTGGACGCATTTCTGCTGTGGCCCCCACCCATTTCTCCTTCAACACCCTTTGAGACTCCCTCCCTCCCTCCCACCGACCACCCCCCTCCCCATGCCCCCCCCCCCTTCCCTCCTGGGCTCACCTCCACCCCCTCTAACTGCAACCCCTCCCAGACAGATTTAGGGCCGATCCCAGCCTTGCCTCCTGTAAAACGCACAGTGGATGCCATTCATGGTTCAGGGCCCCAGGCAGGTGGAGGTCTGGCAGAAGGCACATCCTGCACACATTGTATATTGACAGGGAACTAGCAAACAAATGTTTATTTGGAATGGATGTTTATTTTTCTAAACACAGTCTTGAATGTTGTGGCTAACTTACTTCTTCACGTTGCTCTCAAAAATTACGTCGTGAGGTGAATAAATGTCCTTTGGAATATCCTCAGTCATGGAATGAACCCAAAGGAAACGATATCTCGTGTCACTTTTAAAACGCCTCATCTTAATATAATAATGCAAATTTATAACGTGCATTCTATCATAGGATCCCAATGCGCAAGAAACCACATTTGGCACTCCATCATCTGCAGAGTTGTGTGCCACATTCCGTTAATCCAATGTTTCTAAACTTCTGTACTCTGACCTGGGTCAGTCTGGATTGTATGAAAAGTGAATTTATTTCATGGGTTTTGAGCAGTCATAAGTGGCCAGGCTGGAGGTCATTACTTAGCCCACTCCCCTTGCGATCATGGTTTACTCACAGATTACCGCCCATATTTAAATTCATCTTCTTAGCTCGTTTACATGGGCACATAAACTATCCCATTATTGATAGAGGTTTATATGAGAGTAACAAAATGAACATAGAAAAATACTTGGTAGAAAAACAAGGCATATTACTTTGCAACAACCTTCAAATAGCATTCACAAATAAATATTTGGCATACCGACACGGTTTAAAATTATCCTTGGGAACGGTGGACAGTCAGTGCAACAGAACTCATCCCAAAGAGAATTGCACTGTTGTGGCTCAACAAAGGCAAAGCGTTGATTCCCCTGCGAGATGAAATTACGCGGGCATCTGATAAATCTACATCCTTTGAACGCAGGGGCTTTAGCAGCCACATGCTCCCTCGGAAAAGCCGCGCAGATCTGAAACAAACTCGCGGCGCCTGCGAAGCCAAATTGCCCCTCCCCGGCGCTCACCCTTCTCCACGAGCAGATTTGTGGCGCTCTTCAGATATACGAGGATGTGCGTGCATGCCGCACATTTGGCGGTCGGGTGCACACTCAATCGGAGGACGGTGGCACAGGGAATGCCAGCGTACGGTGCATGGGGAGGGTGGCTGGTGTTGTGTGGGGGGAGGAACCCGTTTTATAAATCAGTCTGAGCCCCCTTTGCCCATAATCAATGGCCCAATTACCACAACCCACAAATTATTTTCTGCACGGCATTAACAAAGTGCAATGTCAGCTGCTACTTGATTGATATTATAATTAAAAGATCCTGACATTTCTTTTTGCAAAAAGCCAGTTATGTAACACTTTCAAATGCTCATATTGAGCGCACTACAGTTGAAGCACCGTTAAGGAATCTGTGTTTGTGCTCAAATTCAGAAGGCCGCCAGAAACAATACGAGAAAAAATGTGAAATATGATTACAAAGCTATGGAAAAATGATGTTGTGATAATTGTGATATCGTGAAAATGACATCGTATCGAGGAGTGAGAAGTCATTTCGCAGCACATGTTTGCAAAAGTCCGAAGGGTGAGAGATCTCCGTGTCTTTGCGTGAGCGCAGACCCGTACGCCGTGGCGTCGTTTCTGCATCAGTCTCAGAAGTCGGCCACGGTGCGTGGCTCCCTCAACCCGACGTGGGACCAGACGCTGGTCTTCCAGGAGGTGGAGATCTACGGGGACCCCAATGTCACGGCCATCAACCCTCCCCACATCATCATCGAGATATTCGATCAGGACTCCTACGTGAGGCTCTCTCGCGCACAGAGACAAATGCGCACACAAACACCACGGGCGCAAGTTGTTGCGTACACTCAAGGGACGGAAGCAATAAATTGACACATCCACATCAGTGGCAGGTGGCGTCTGAACTTGCCCTCTGCCTGCTCTGAGTCGACTGAGCCTTAAGCATCAACCTGATGAGGAGTGTAAACATCAGCAATGCGAGAGACAAAGGGGAAACGTCGTGAGAATTGTTTTATTATGTTTTATTTTTATTATTTTATTACTTCCCTTCTACGTGACTTTACCGAAAGAACCAAGAAGACAAAGGGGGTCAGTGGGTGGCGCTGGCCACAAACCTCTGCATGTGGCCTTCTGGATTAAATAGGTGCTCGCTTATAGCACTTACCACTTTGGTCTAGAGCACGGCTCGGCAATAAGAATTCGGTATAAATAAGAGCAGCAACACACGTGAATAACGTCACGAAGCAGCAGTCCTTAACGAGCCGCATGCTGCTCCGGAGCCGCGGGTTGCCAACCCCTGGTCTAGAGGCTCAATGGAGAATGACTGTGTGCGTGTGTGCACGTGTATCATCGTAGGTGCTCGCTAACAGCTTTTGCCCCAAAAGTACGTTGAGGCTACGAGGGGGCATTCGTCGTCCTCTTTGTGCGTCATCGTTGCAGGGAGCTGACGAGTTCATGGGCCGCTGTACGGTCGCTCCCGCCGTGGCGCCCTCTCCCAGCGACCGCGTGGCTCCGCATCTCGCCTGGGTCCCTGTCATGCGGAGCGGCCGCGAGAGCGGAGAGCTGCTGGTGGCCTGTGAGCTCGTTCGCTACGACAAGGCGAGTGGTTTTTTACCCTTTTATCTGGCAACAAAACTGACACTTTTTTTTTTACAAGGAGTCATGTTTGCATAGACCACAATACCTGCAGTCATAATGCAAACAAAAAACATAGCTCTGATAATGTATGCACTGTCCTTGAAGTTGATTGGTCCACACCCGAGACAGCTTTCCTTAGAGCCTAGTCTCACATGGTGTTGGACCAGATGACGCCAAAAGGCGCACAACTCAAAGACAATGCACCATCAGAATATGAGAGCTCGGGGTAAGCATTTACACCATTGGAACCTCATTTGCCAAAAGTCTGTCCCTGCCCACATGAGCATGAGGCAGTACTCACCTCTTTTGGCTGCTCTGAGCAATGGGTGGACATTCCACATTGTTGCTGCAGGGACCAGTCTTTTCTTGAAGATACAACCTCTATTTACTTCAAACCAATTCTGGCATTTTCCATCAATGATGGGAAACTCATTAAATGTAAAAGTGCACGCAGGCTTGAAACAAGAGTAATGACACACATAGAAGGTACAAATAATACGTCCACCATTTTAACTCTTTTTGAAATGGTGGTGTGGAACTAGGTTGTGTGCGTTATACAAGCAGTGTGCTCATGTCACGTGATGTGCCGTGCATAACTCTTTGCTTGCTTTATTACTCTCTGGTGACTTCCAAACAGTGATACTCAAGTTGTTAACTTGACGTTGGGCTTAGTTAGACCCCTGCCTGGGATGTTAACTCATTCTTATCCAATTGTGAATGGGGCTTTTTTACCCCAAAGCATCATGTCTTCAATGTTTAAACAAGCAATGGGGTGGCACTGGTCTCAGTTGGCAGCCCAGAGATACTGGTGGAAATTCCACATACCCAGGGCAGCGGTTAGTCTATCCATAATTCTACCACTGTTGAATACATAAAGGAACGAGCATGAAGTTCAATATATGAACAGATGCAAAGACAATTCAAGCAAAAATAGAGCAAAAGGACCATGGGTAATGGGTTACCAACCATAATCCTTTACCTGTGTAGTGAGTGACTTCCGCGACAGGTCGAGTAGAAGTCTTATTAAATAAGAGCACATGGGGCGATATACTTCATAACGCGGCTACACCTAGGCGATCCTAACACGCAGCCCATCCCCGTCATACGCTACGCTAGCTGTTCGACTAGCGTAGCGGCGGCGACGGAGATGGTCTTGCAGAAGAACAGCCACGTGGTCGAAGACGAAGAGATGACTACGAGCAGCGACGCAGCCAGGACCCAGGACCCGCAGAACACCCCCGACCGTCTGGCTCGGTCCCCCTTAGATCTTCCCGGCGCGGCCAAGCTCCTCCTCTGGCCACGCCCCCGTTCCAGAACCTTCGGCTGGTTCCCAGAGCTTCTCGACTGACTCCGCCCTTCACCTTTACCCCAGATACGCCCCCCCCCCCTTATAATAAGGCATTATGTAATGCAGCCATAACCGTAATTACCCCTACAGGCCGGCAGGTGTCACCCTGTCATTACACCTGCATCGCTGGATTGGCTGCAACCCGATTCCAGTCAGGTGACTGTGGGCGGCCAATCACACAGCACCTGAGACGTAATTTAATTTCTGTCAATGTGGATCAAAAGCACAAAATCGATGGATGAAAAGATACAGCAGCAGCGGCAGCAGCTTCGAAACACAGGCGTTTGAGCTATGTCTGGAGTTTTTAACTTTATATCCAGACACTTTTGTGCTTTAGCTGTGATCTTCATTTTTATGCTGGTGGTTTGGTTTGATTGTCCACATGGTTTGAGGCATCACCTCTGGCATTGATGCTCAACAGTAGTGTACACAAATATATAAACAAGTGGTGATAAACATCGTTTATGGTGATGTATTCATATTGTCCACTTTGCACTTTCCCTGGTGGCGCTGCCTGGTGTGATGCTGTATTCCGACTCAGGCCTTCTCCTGTGGATTTCAAGGCCTTGAGGTTTGTGTTTCACTCAAGATCAGACAACAAAGTAGGTCAGCTGAGGGGGGGGCATGACATAAGGATAGCCAGTTGCTGCAAAACTGTCTCAGCATATGATATTCAAAGATTAGGTTTGGTGTAAAGTGTCTTCGCTAAAGCTTCACGATAAATTCTGGTATGTACGTTGATCTTCGTTCGCGCCGTACGTAGCCAACCGTGCTAATCGGAGGTGCAGGAAAACAAAAACAAAGCACAATAGCATGCCCAGTGGTCAAGGGCTTGATATATATATAGATGCATCTCTTCACGTGCCATCTCATCACTTGGCATCGGCCTTCTGTGCCCCCTTCTCACGGCTGGAGTGTGTGCGTTGCAGCGGACCGGTGCCATGTTCTCGGTGCTGTCCGACCCGTCGGGCTATGAAGCGGACTGCATTGTGCACACTGCGCATCAACCAAGAAGCGGTAATCTGCGTGTAACTCGACGTCAAGCCGTCTGTCTGGGGGATTTTGAGAGAGATGTTTGCCGTAGTAACAATAATGATAATGATAATTTGTTTTTGAGAGAGCGCCCTTCACGCCGGGGCATCTCGGAGCGCTTTACACGTGACGAGCAAATTGCATCTCAACATGTTTTTTGAAAGGGCACTCCCAATGGCAGCTGACCCTGTGCGGCACTCGATGATATTGATAAGCGTAATCGCAATTAAGTAATTTGTGGTGTATTTTGTAAAACATTCTCATTAGCTTAAGTTTAGAGCACTATCTGGTAGTTGTAATGAAACAGAACCATGAAGGGGTTTATATGAAAGCTCATAGAAAATCAATGTTGGGTAATTCTCCACTGTGTATAATCTGGACAATGCGCACAATTTGTGCAGTCTGTGCAATTCATGCAATCTGTGCGATCTGTGCAATCTGTGCGATCCCTTCCCATATGCCCTCCTTTTCCCCCCCAAGCCGGAGGAGTCGGAGCTGGAGTACCCTCCGCCACTGCCGGGGACCAACCTCTACATGGTGCCACCCGGCATCAAGCCAGCCCTGCAGCGCACGGCCATCGAGGTGACACCGCCACGGCACAGACCTGGAACCGGTCTCCATGCAGCTCTTAAACGTGCTGAGCCTGGACTGGTCTCACACTCCCCGAGTCTCATCAAAAGCTACACGTGGCCTCTTTAAATGAATGCTGCTGCAGTGCCTGGCATAGACAGGATTCATCGACAAATACCATGGGGACATTGCGCACAGCGCAGCGAAATTGTAGACGTGTTTTCTCTCTCGTTGGTTTGTAGATCATAAAATAATACGTTATTAAGCAAACGTCCGTTTCACCACTCAAAAATGTACTAATAGCAGATCTGTCAATAACCCAAACGGCCTTCTGCCGCAATGTTTCCGGCAGCATTTGTTTAAGGAGGCAAACCTGTGGGACAGTTTCGATTGTCTGAGTCTCATAGGCTTTGTGCTGCCCCTTCCTTCCACGCGTCGTGGCCAGATCCTGGCGTGGGGGGTGCGTAGCGTGAAGAGCTACCAGCTGTCGTCGGTGTCGTGCCCCAGCCTCCTGGTGGAGTGCGGGGACCAGGTGGTGCAGTCGACCGCCATCCGCAACGCCAAGAAGAACCCCAACTTCGACCAGCCCGTGCTCTTCATGGATGTGGTGCGTGCTAAGACCTGGCAGAGTAGCTCTCCCTTTCGTGTTTGATATGAGTCTGAGTAGCAACGATATATCGATGTCTGGGTTGTGAGTCCAGCTGGTGGTTTCAGAGGATGACGAGTGTGTACCCCTCGTGCCCTCGGAGATCGCTCCAAGTGGACATGACTTTTCATGTTAGTTTGTTTATTTAGCACGTGCGTTTGCGCCAAGCCATTAGTTCACACTGATACCCAGACTCACACAAAGATCCAGAGACTCACACGGAGACCCAGACTCGCACAGATATCCAGACGCACACAGAGACCCTGAGACTCACATAAAGTCTCAGACTCACACAGAGTCCCAGAGACTCACACAGAGACTCAGAGACTCAAGTAAAGTCTTATTCATACAGAGACCCAGAGACTCACAGAGTCCCGTAGGTTGAACATGAATGATGTTTTCCCTTCGTGTTATATTTGTGTTGTACATTGCAGTATCTACTGTTGGAAACCTTCGTATATGTCAGTTGTCTTCATTATTCCTTGAGGTTTCAAGACACCATATAGTAAAGAGCAGTGGCCACCTGTAAGTCACTCAGGATATTTGGGCATTTCTTAGCTCTGGACGTGGCCTATTAACTGACACACGAGCCTAAGTTAATTGATTACATTTAAAGAATAGTGCTTTGGTTTCTTCGTAATCAGTCTGATGGACAAGACCCCGTTACCTTCCCAACTTTTACTCGCATTGAGAAATTTTCATCAACATAGGTGACAAAAGGTGATTGTATGAAATAATAGGTTTATGAAAATGTATTTTTAAAAGGTTTCATTTGGGTCACCAAGTTCACCGAAGTAGCAACTTGAAAGATTAAGGAGAATAGTATGACGGCATGAATATACAAGAAGTCTCGATAACTTGCCATAGACACAAATGAGAAGTTTAAGAGAAACATTTGATACCTTCAAGTTTCCCTCCGACAGAGCGGAGTTGAGAGAAATGTAAAGCAGCCAATGACACGAGTTGCAACGGAACAAAATTATTAGTCACATGACAATGAAACTAAAATGTTCGTCTTCTGAGGTGAATTTTGCCAAATTAGGTGAAAAAAATTAAGTTTAATATCATAGTGATCAGACTCGGATACAGTGGCTAATACTCAGGTTCAAAACCAGGGTCTCAACGATACCGGTTCAGTGGCTCCATCTGGAACGTTCGACATGCAACGTCGACATTTAGCGACTGTCAATTAATGCAGCAATCTGTGAAATCAAACTGGAGCAAGATGACAGACATGGACAATTCAGAGCAGACCCAGTTTATTTCCGTGTAACAAGTGACACAACTGCCCAATCACATTCCGATAATGAAATAAATACTTTTCAAACACAGTACTCTTCTCTTACATTCGTTTCTTAGGACTGATCCTTCTAGGAATTTCCAGAGACATGGCGGGGGGGGGGTGGTGATAACATTTGACGGTGAAACATTGAGAGGGAAAAGCGTTCCTCGATCTCCCGTGACCTTCTGTAACCTTCTCCCAGCCCTCTCGATTGGCTCAAGTCCACCACGGATACGACAACCACCACCCTACACTAATTTTAACAGCCACGAGACTTCTACTCGATTGGTAACCCGACATTCCCGTCGAAGGAAATCCCACAATCGAAAGGCCGCCCGTGCATATGTATTGCTTCGTTTCGGAGGACTGATCTTTCTAGGAATTGCCAGAGAACACGGCAGGGATAAAGTTAGAAGGTGGAACGTTGAGAGGGGATTGTGTTCCCCCCACACCCCCGTCATCCTCATAGCTGCAGCTGAATCAACAATGCTGTGTCCACGTGTGGGAGCCCGCCGTTTGGCGGAATTATGAAGGATAAACGTCCCATAGGCAGCGCTAATGTGTAACCTCAGCAGCCCTAATCATCTCCTGTTCCCGGGCTGCGCTTCATGCGCTGCTTCGTGTCTTTGCCGCGACTCGGAGCGAGCAGCTCGCTTTCCCCCGCGGAGTTTCAATTAAACGCGTTTAAATATTATCGCTAGTTACACAAAAAGGATGTTTTAATAATTCTGATTTAAGTGAGTACTTACATGTAAGTGAGCTCATTAAGCCGGTCAAACAAATCGTTTTCTTGTAACTTAAAAACGAATCCAGAATCTAACTGGGTGGGGGCGGCACGAGCCAAGGGAGTCCTTGGTTTGTGTTAGACGACTTGAGTTGGGAAATTGACCGTTGGCGGTTTAGACGTGGACATGTCACCTCGTACACTCGGCAATTCAATGTTCATATTCTAAATGCAAATTGTCCACCTACTCAACTGAGCACGGGGCAACACGGATGTCCACTTGGGGCATTGAGCCTAGCCCACTAGTGCCCACTGTAGTTACTGGACAACACTTCGGAGGCAAAGGGCCGTGGGTCACACGACTTTGTTAAACTCTCTCACACTCACGGGGCGGTGAAGCGGCCATGAGAGCGCCTGAGAAGGAATGTTTTTTTCCTTTAATTCCTCTTTGAGCAACGTCTGTGTGTTATCCCAGCGGATGCGTGGGGTTTCGTTAATCACTGTTCTCCCGAACGCCTGGAATGAAAGTTTCCCAAAGCCATTGCCACCTCTCCATGATCCAGCAAAAGCAACAATCCACCTCTGCACCTGCAAATTGAACGATTTCATCACTCCGCCTCCGTAGCGAATGTAACCCCAGACGTGTTTTCTCCTCTGGCTGCTACTTGGTCACGTATTATTATTATTATATGAAATACCACATTACTCATTTCGTTTAACCCAACTATGCTGATCCCACCACCGTCGTCTTAATTCGATCTATTGTATTCATCCTGAAATCACTCACTTCCTCTTGTTCTTTCGTACGGCTGCTGATGTGGATGCAAGCCCAGATAACCGCGTCAGGAGCAGCAGCGGAGTAGTGTTATCGCTCGAACTCCATTCATCGATCGGCAATGATCCCGGCTCGGCCAAGCGGGGGCAGCATACACCTGCATTCACATCTTCTCAGCGCGCTCCTGCACTGCCCCCCAACAACGCCCTCCCTACCCCCCCCCCCCCCCCTCAGCTGATCTTAGCTCCCATGCTGACAGCAGCAGCAGCAGCAGCCTTGATACTCTGCAGTGCGGGAAGCGTTAAATCATAAACCAGCCGAGTGATTCCTACTCAAAAAACACTCAGAGGAAACGGTACCATCCTGCCACATTTTCTGGATTCATGACACACGCAAAGCCCCCCTCGACTCAGGGGGCTGCGAGCAAAACCGTGGCCTGTTCCAAAATCAACAAATGAGCCTTATGGCGGGACCCCGGGGTCCCATAAGCCCCCGGCTCTCGCGTAAACATTATATTATAATGTCAACAAAAACTATGCCTTTAAAAATGAAAACTATTTACCTGCAGTACCTCTATTTAAATACACTATCGAAAAAATAATTGACACCCCTCTGTCAATCATCATGTGTCTCAGTGTGGATTTGTGAACACACTTTGTAAACAGTACATAAAATAGTTCGCGTTTTCAATGCGCTGTTCATGTTGTAACAAGCGTTTATACCAATGTTACTCGACAGAGCAGTGGGTCGAAGCTCCTCTTATCTGCATTGATACGAGCGGTATGTGGGGACGATGGCTTAACCGCAAAAAACCTATCTGCACAGATGCATACGGACAAGAGAAGTATTATCAAACAGGAGGAATTAACGGTGCAACGCATCTCATCTGTAGGTAATAGGATTGTCATCGATTGATCCTGGCTGCAGACATTGGTAGGTCACAACTAATAATGAAGATAAGAGAGCAGTTTTACTGTATTATGCATACCGTTATGAAGTCGTGTAGGCAGTTTGAGCAGCTTTGGATAAGACTGATGATCCTGCCCATGACCGAGCACGGAGCGCAGCATTCGCTTGTTCAGCTCTTGTGCGCATTCGTCCTCGCCACCGCCGCTGCGCTTGGACACGACACGACAACAGAATTATCCCCGCCAGGCGGGTCGCGGCGTTTATGTGCGCAGTGGGACGGAGTCGCCATAAAGACATTGATGAACTACGATTTTGACTTCTGTTTATTCGGGACCCCGGGGTCCCGCCATGAGGTTCAAATGTCCTTTGGTTATAATTGTCCTTTTTAAATGCCCTTATTTTTTTACTTCTGTTAATAAACAATTTAACAGCGCGGTAACTACGGGCGCTGTTTTCACAAATGCGGGTTGCGAGTTTTTGTTTAATTTTAGTTATTTAAGACTTCAAATGTATTTTAAACTATCCGTTTTGTTGTTGTTGTTGTTATTAAGGTCATGTGACACATGGTGCTTGTGCAATGGTTTGGAAAGTGAGCGCATGACGTCATTTTGTTGCAAAAATGTGCACCGCTTTCACGAGCACCCTCATTGTGGCTAGGTGCAGCAGGTGAGAGGAGCCAGAGTCATTCTGTTGAGAGTTGACTTCTCTGTCTTTTATTTCAAGCTGTGGCTACTGGAAATAATTACACCCCAGCCGATGAGCAACAGCTGCAGGTTGTACATATGTTCGAATGAGTTTTGTATTATTATTATTGTATTGTTCTACTTGTAATTCTGTAAAATGCTAATTAATGTGCTTTCATTACCTTTTCAGTCATCAGAGTATCATGTACGTCCTGTTAAATGATGCTCTCGGAAGGTGACATCTCAGAATAGTTTCTGAAGGAGCCTCTTCCATCTCCGTAAATACATGTTTGCCATGTGTCAATTATCGAACACACGTGCACAGAATTTCAGCTGTCGAAATGGCTTTGGTTAAATTAAGTGTCAATCAAATTGCATATGCTTCAAAAGGCATTTATTATTGAGAACCGGGTTTAATCACGGGTGGCTAGCAAAATTCAAAACCATAGTTCCATACATGATAGCTGCCCACCTTAGCCAAATACCATTCACAATCACTATAACATACGTGTCCTTTACCTGCCATGGTCATTTTTACCAAAGACACTGGGGTTTTGTATATTCTTTAAATTATCTTTGAAATCATCTGCCTGGATGGCACTGTGCTTGGCAAGAGTGTGCCTCCGGTTGGGTTCAGAATTGAACTGCCCCGCACGAGATGTGAACGGTGACTCCATCAAACGGTGACTCCATCAAACGGTGACTCGATCAGCATTTGGTAATATCCTGATTGGAAGATCTGCCTTTTTTTTAAAGAATCTGATGGTGCAGAATTGAACTTCAGCACTTTTTCCTAGTACAAGCTACAATAGAGAGACATTGATATTAGATGTCGACGAGTCTAAAATTTGACAACGTGCTTTTGTGTTGTGCCTTCAACCAGCGGCTGGTGCAGCATGCAATTGTGAGCACTGGGGGTGCGAATTGTCCCATTCTTTGGCGCTGGCCACGCAAAGCCCTCGTGTGCCGTGCTCACCTGAACAGGTGCTCATCCGAACAAGTGCTCACCAACAGCACTTGCCCTCCAGAGCTAATTGGGGGGTCCTTGTATTTGCGCGCGTGTGTGTGTGCGCATGTGTGCAGAGGATGGCAGTTGAAGGCTGCTACGCACCTCCCGTCACCATCAAGTTGCTGGACAACCGTCCGTTTGGGCGACGGCCGGTGGTAGGTCAACTCACGATCCGCTCCCTGCAGGAGTTCTTCTGTGACCCCTACCGGGCTCCAGACCGAGTACCCAGATCCCCCGTCGCTGGTGAGACGCACACACCCACGCACACCCACGCACAGCCACGCACACCCACGCACAGCCACGCACAGCCACGCACACCCACGCACACCCACGCACACCCACGCACAGCCACGCACATCCACGCACCCCCACGCACAGCCACGCACAGCCACGCACACCCACGCACACCCACGCACAGCCACGCACACCCACGCACACCCACGCACACCCATGCACACCCCTGCGTCCGTTGTTTACACCACTAGTTCCCCTGTTGTCATTTGAGGAGTCGTGAGGTCTGTTTGGAATTATTTCAGCACGGCGTCTCAACGACAGTCATCACAAGGGCATGGACAGCGATAGTTTGGGGGGCTGATGAGACGAAAGAATGACGTGGATTTTAAGCATGCTGTTTAAATTCTAGTTGCAGTAATTGACCTAAAGGACCCTGGGTTGAAGGGTTCTAACGCAGTGTGGTTTTCTGGACTGGGTTATGTACGATGGTCTCACCAGCTGGCTGCTATCAAGCTGCTGGTGGGTGCACATCAATCGTGTGCAAATTGTCCTCGTGGTTTGCACTGCTGGCCACTTGCCTCGGCAGCCACCCAGAGCGCCTGTTATATGAAACAGGCACAGAGGCAGGCTCAATATAAGCGTGTATCTCTAATCCTGACCTTCCGCTAGATGGCCTGCATTTTTGCACAAGCTTAGAAAGAGCCCGAGCTGTTTGTATGAAATTTGTCCCACATGTCGGTTGTGCGGTGCATTGTGCTAAACTCCCACATCGGGACACTTAAAAGGCATCTCTGAGACTCGGATTCTGGCACAGCAAGGAAAATGCATCAGCTCGTTTTTGTCTCCGGTGGCAGACGGTGGGGGATACACGTCTGGCGAGCTCCATGGGCTCAACCCAGATACCCTGGAAGTCTGTTGAACACAATAGCCGCACGCCATGTACTCACGAGGCAGTAGGTACTCACTTTAGGCTGAGTTCGCCAAGGTGTATTCAAGGCTCCATTCAATGACCAGCTACCACCGGTGGGGGACATTACCGGGAATGGAATATGCTGGTTCAGTGGGATTGTCGTGCTGTCCAGTGCTATTACACATGTTGCCGCATTGCATATCCAGAGATTCCACATTCACCTGCACAGTATAGCCTTGTGGGGCAGAGGCTTTTAGAGAGCACTCATTAAGGCTGGCGTGGCACAGGATGGGCGGTTTCACCTGCAACACGTTGATCGACCTTGTTTCCACAGAGATGATTTTGACTTCGCTGTGTCTTTTTAATGTCACTAATTTTAGGCTGAGATGACCTAGAAGTGATCCATATCAGATTCAGATATAATTTACTGCTGATGTTTTCCATGGCCATAAATTCCTGGCCACCAGGATTGTTGTAAAATGCACGAAGCACTTCACGACGGCTTCCCAACGTGGGAACGAGCGAACCAACAATAATGACAACAATAACCGCGGTTCGACACGAAGTGATGGTGACGTCACCGCGGTGCTTGTGCCAGGCTAGGTGCACTTTTAGGCCATTTGAAGCGTTGACGGCTCGCTGCCAAGAGATCATGGGACAGACCCAGGTGTTTTAGATAACTGACTGAGATGACTGGCAGATGCACCACATTTGTTCTCCACTGCACCAAATTGCTACGTGTCAAATGTCTGCACTTCACTCGTTATTCTGAGCGTCACTCCTCCACCCTCGATTGTATTTCGAAGGGCAATTGCTTTCAATGCCTAGTTGCGTCCTTCGTGAGCCTCTAACAGAGAGGCTGATCTTGGCACTGCTAGTACCGGTCATCTGCAAGACCAATCAGCTACTTACCCTCCTGCACCACATCAGTCCATTTCATCTCTGGCGTGTGCTGCACCGTTTGTCCCCCTCTATCCAGTCAAACAGAAGTTGATTGGACATGCAGTGCTTGGGCATGCGGGCGACATGATCCAGCCAACACAATATCACCTGTCCAGATCTTTCAAAGATCTGTGAGATCTTCACACAGTCCAGCCTGGTTCAGTCTAGGATGGATCATCGGCAGGCCATCCTGAATGTTTCAAGGCAGCGCTTGTAGCCCCATAATTACATTACTATAATGTTTATGCATGGCAGTTTCCTAAATACACAATTGAATGCTCAGATGTGAAACCCAAACGAAGGCACGTTGGGACAACTCTTCATCTGCATGCACATTATAAATACAAACGACGTTTGCAGTCCCATGCCTTTGAGGCATTTCAAAACTGGGTTTAAATATGATTCTAGATTTGAAGCTTTCGTGACTGCAACGATTCATACTCTTAGGTTTTTTCGGTAAAGTCACGTAAGTAAAAAATAAAATAAAAATAATAATAGAAATAAAATAATAATACATGAAAATAAATCAATTAAATCACGACGTTTCGGAGGCAACACAAGTCTCCGTCTTTAGGTGGGACCGTCACAGCTATATTTACTGTATCTTATGAGTGGGTTAATGGGTGCAGAAAAGTAATTAAACTTGCGAAAGACATTCATAGTTTAAAGGAGTTTTTAAATTTCCGATTATGTGATTACATGTTTTTAGTATGTTTACTTTGGTGACAGCCGTAGAGGGAATGCTTCCATCTTGGTTGGAAAATTGTTAACATTATTTGGGGTCTTATGCTAAATAGTTACACATATAAATGTTTATTGTGCAGTTACAGGCCACATATTTCAATATCCTTGCACATTTTTTCCCCCAAACGAAGCCGCTTCTTAAGTTACAACACTTAAAATGATTACCATTAAACCTATTGAGATATATTTCTACACGCGAAAAAAGTGCTTCTAATAACCCTGTCAATGCAATGAAAGAGCACGTGTAAAAATACAACTGAAATGTAAACCGAATTACACCGTTCCAATGTTTGCTTCTATTTACAGTCGTGCGTTCACGATTGCGTTGGCCCAGTTGCTGATTTACTGGGGCAGCCAGCTGCGTGGCCGTGTGGGCAGCTTGTCCACCTCCGGCTCCAGGGGTCACTGCGTTCAAATCCAACCCCAGCCCCCCTTGACAATACATTGTGGAAAGATTTTCAAACAAGCGCACTATTTGCTAATTTATGTAGACGTAACAATATCCCTTGATACTACTGCCTTACAAAGGCGGGTCATTGTATGCGAGTGTTGAAACCAGATTTGTGGAATTACCAGCAATTACCGAATGACCGGGTTGTCCTTTCCTTAGCACATGTCAAAGCTCGGTGCCCATGTGTGGAACTGAAATGTATATTCTTGGGGCAAATCTGCTACATGGCAATACCTGGCAGATTGTGGAGTGATGACATAGCTTGCCTCATGTAGTATATATACAGCACATGACATGACATTAGGACAAAAAGAACCACAGTATAACCATTCACAATGGTTATTTAAGCACATTTATTTTGTCTAGAATTGAGGGGCTGCTTTATCACTTGTGCTGCTCTTACTGTCTATAATTATTCCGGTAGTTTTATTTTATAATAGAAGGATCTGCATTTTTTAAGCACCAAATTCCAACTGGATCTTTTTCGACTTAACGCTTTCGTGACTGCAGCAATTCATGTGCTTGGGTCTTTCGGTAAAGTCACGTAGATAGGTTCAAAGAAAATAATCAAAAATAACAGAAAACTACGATGCTTCGATCGCAATGCAAGCAGTCGTCTTCTTGCATTGCGATCGAAACGTCGTAGTTTTCTGGTTTTTTTGAAAAAAAAATTGAACCTATCTACGTGATTTTACCGAAAGACCCAAGAATATGGATATTTTTCATGAAGCTCTAAACCTATTTAAACTGTATCGATATACATGAGCAGTGTAAATGTCATGAAATTGTGATAATTCAAGACTGAGATGCAATCTAATACGCAATTGATTGTTTGGTTATTACCAAAACATGTTTATTTTTTTCTAAAATTTTTTTGCTGTGTTTACGTTTTTATCTCCTGCAATGAACATAAAAAATTACACTTGCACACACATTGCATATATTGATAAACACGCCACTCAATGCATGTATCGTGAGCCTAAATAACAATATATTAATCGATCAATTGGTGATGCATCGTTACACCCATAACATGCATCATTATATTTATTTGTCAGTTTTGCCTCTCGGAAGTGACATGGCCCAGCGTTCGCGTGTCTGCCGCTTGTTGCGTTGTTGCGGGGTTAGCTTGTTCCCCAGCTGTCTGCATTACATTGGACGCTAAAGATCTTGTGAACTTATCGCAAACATGGGTAGGCCATTTTTAATTGCCTTAAAACACAATTAGACGCTGAAAATGAAGGCGGTATCAACGAGTACAAAATATCCTGTGTCGTGCCGTGGCCCACATGTGCTTGTGCGTGTACCTGGAATGCCTAAATAGGCGCTTGCTTACACTACTCGCCTTGATGGGGTCCGTTCAAAAACGTGAAAGGGAATCAGCTGTCCGCCTGCCTTTACGTTTGTCTCGTGGCTGTGCGCACAGCCGACTCGGCCCACTCGAGCCCAATGGACACCGTTATCGAGGTGGACGACTGCAAGCCTCTGATCAAGGTACAGCGGCAACAGCAGCCGCCGGGAGTGAGCACGTGGGACCAGCATGAGCTGAAGCAGAAGCATCACGGTGACACTGGCACGATTCAGACATTGCACAATCGCCCACGTCAAGCAATGCAACGCGACTTCTGTTTTGCAACACGTTTGTACTACAGTCACTGATTGAAGCCAATTAATGTCGGGACCAATTTTTCATTAGTCCAGTGGAGGCTGTAAATGCCTGAGGCCTGGCCCCTGCCCTCCCCTCTTGCCTGGGTTGGTTAAGCTCAGGTAGCTCGGTTTGGTATCTTGACAAATAAAGGTACCTGTGGCCTGAAATTAGTGCAAGCTGACTGTCCGGTCAGGTGCAAGCTGACTGTCCTACCTGGGATGAATAGGTCAACGTGTCCAGCAACATTGTTGGTTGTAAACCAATGCCTGCGCACTACACTAGAATAGCATCGGCATTTCATCGATAAAGAGACGTCACGTTGTCTCACCACATCAAAATGAAGCATATTTTAGCCTGAGCCGTCCAGACTAATAACCCTGCATTGTTTATTTTAGCAAATCACACTTAGGACACGTCTTGACCTTCTGGGTTTCATCAGCAGGGTTATGCTCATGGAACTAATGATCCTCAGTTTCGTCAGGTATCATTGGCAAGAGCACTCCAGGTTCACAGTGGGGCCCTGTGAGTGCACAAAAGCAACACACTTAAAGCCGTTGTGAAACATGGGTAGTAACATCGGTTACATTGAGAATGTAATGTCGTAAATTTGATTGATTATCTGTTTTGCAAGGGAGACCTGGATTTTTGGTTTAGGGTTGTTTTATATAAATATTTTTCACATTTAATTGTATCCCATTTTGGATATTTGGAATACAACACAGGCACACAATAAGGCTGGTTGCGGGCCTGATCCCTGACCATCGCTGTCGCCGTGGTCAGAGGGAACAACTTATCCTGGGCCTAGATGTAGCCAATGTCATCGATATGTTACTCAGTGCATGCTTTTGAAAAAGATGATTCGAGACAGAGCTTTATTGCAATATAGCGATGGATCCCAGTACAGTTGTTACTCTCTTTCCTCCTGCGTCATCACGCCTGAAGACACGCTATTGCTTATTCTTGTGAATGACGTCACAGGGTCTTTAATGTACACTCGACCAGAGATAGATCTCTACAGAGAATAATAAGCAGCAGCAGAAATCAAAGTCAACTTCATGCAAACTGGCTCTGCGCATTAGGCTACCCAGCTTTCGCAATTGTTTGAAATTTGGTACCGAAAACTGGGTCAGGTTATGGTAGTAAAGAAGGCACACGTGATGACATAATACGCAGTGTGTGAATGGATTCTCGAACCCAGGTTTGCGTCTTGGGTCTTGCATGTTTAACATGGCGCAGACATCTTTGCTGGGAGGATAACGCTGCTTCCCTTGCACGTTTCACCGATGTAATCGCCATTGGTCTGACCAGTGTGGAAGAGCGGCCCCCAAGTCGCCTCTTGGAGACGCTGTGCGGGGCTCCCTCTCGTGGAGGCCCTGGTACCCACAGTGGAGCGAGCACGCAATCGCATGGCTGCATATTGACATTAACATATAAACTATCAAACTAAACAACATTTTTTATTTTACCAGGGAAGGCCCGCTCAGTTATATAGCTCTTTTTCAGCAGTGACCTGGCCACAAATGACAGCTATCATTGAACTATAAGTCAACGAAGTGGCTTATCATGTGGACATATATCGCAGTGAAATACTCTAAATGCATGTTTCTAAATGTGGAGGGAAAAACCGGAGAACCCGGAGAAAAAAATCCACGCGACCATAGGGAGAGAGAGACACAAACAAACTCCAAATATACAGCACCGTAATTTTTTTAGACGAATTACAATTTTGAAAAACTAATTCAAATTTCCAACACAATTGTAATTGTCAAAGACTAAGTAATGTTCTCTTTGGCGTATATGTCACACTATATTACATTCGGAAGTAACAGAACGCTTTAAATCGAGAACGAGTAACCTCCAGTAGAGGGGAGCTCCAGAGACTCTGGTCACGGAGCAATATTATGTTAAGTGATTCCTGCTGTTGCTCGGTAACGAGCACGGCGTGTGATGTCAAGTGAACGCTGTGATCCAGAGTACAACATAAACAAACATAAACAAACATCCGTGGCAGAGCCCAACGTTCACATTTTACAATAACAACTAGTGGACATCTGTGGGAAAGAGCTTAAAAGCTGATCATATTCCTCTAGTATAAATCAATAAATATATAAATCAATTAAAATTATATAATTAATCAATTGTAGGACAGAATCAGAATATTGATTATTGATTATAATAAATTGTAGATCAGTACTCATCTGTATTGGCAGTCAGAGCCAGTGGTGGAAAGTCCACGCAGAGTACATATGTCGGGGCCATCTCTCCAGAGAGTGATGCTCACTTGATTGCAATCAAAGGCACGCTAGGCTGAGCTGATCTATCCTGGGTCTTAATGCGAACAGGTCTATCGCTTACACAAGCCCGGATATTAGAAGCGCGAAAGCAACCGCCGCTTGTCTGCCTTGCTAACCGATCCACACAGAGCTCGAGGCACGCATGCTCATCACGTTTACGCTGGAGCTGGTTTGTCTGTGTGTTGCGTGCGCATGCACGTGTGTGCAGGGTGCAGATAATTCATCCGCAGGCCTGGGCTCAGTCTATGGGGGCACAACTTCGTACTCTGTGAGTGCATTCATGTTTACTTTACACGCAATCACACAAACCCATATCAACGTCCCGAGCACAACCTGCCTGTTGCTATCGTTTATAAATTCCGTTCATGGCAGTGTCTCAAATGCAGTGCCGTCAAGCTGTGTGAACCCTTGACTGCCCAAGCTCAGTTAGCGAGGTGTCGTCTCAATGGTCAGAACATTCACCACTGAAGAGGCTCTGTTCCCATTGCTGCTGTAGTCTTAGACGTCAAGACTGTTCACAAGAGTGAGTAATTGCGTGTCGTTGTCATAGCCCAAAATTCTATGTTTTTTGGGGCTATAGGTAAATCATGGTTCTTATGAAACTAAACACCCAGGCCTCCCTTGAATCTCAGTACACAGGAGAAAATGAATTAATCTCTGGTGGGAGCCAAGGATGTAACCCTGTTACATCCTTTCCTTGCTATTGTCTCTCTCTCTTGCCAATTCTCCTTGCCATTCTTGCTTGCCATAAATATGAGAAGCCCATAATTTCACTTTCTTTGACTCCTCCCCTGCACGGACAGATGAACGAATGTACACTCGTAAAAAAACTCAAGGGCACATGCTCATGGTACACAAAGTATGTGTACGGACTTGTTCACGTTATCCCCTTGTGTGTGCACGATTTCTCTGCGTAGCCCGATTTTTTCCCATGCCCAACATAACTCACTGCGTAATTGACAAACCATCATCCTCGTGTAAGATTATCTTTAAAAGAGCACCGGTAATGTCGTGAGTCTTGCTGAAACAGAGTAAAATACTCCTCGAGTTGAACACACGCTCATGTCCAACCATGCTTGTGCTCCAGGAGGAAGACTCCGTGGACTGGTGGTGCAAGTTTTACGCGTCGATTGGGGAAAGTGAGAAGTCTGGCTCCTACCTGCAGAAGGGTTACGACACGATAAAGGTGCGTGTGGGTGTGTGTGTGTGCGCGTTTGCGAGAGAGTGTGTGTGTTCAGTGTTGGTGATGTTCGTTATCATACTGGACTACAATTCCAGCTACTTGGGCCCAATTTTTTTCTGAGCACATCTGTGTAAGGATGTTATACATTTATATTGAATGTTTATTTAAATATACAGTTCTCGCGGAATATTAGACTTAATCCCAATGAGTGCACTCCTGGACCTATCGTGCGCCTTTGGTGATGTGTCAGCACCGTCACTCAGATAGCAAATACAGCCATAGATGGTGCTTTCGTCACCCCTCTTGCTCCAATCGACTACCGTGTATTGTCTCTTTGTAACGTGTACCTATATTTCACGACAACCCTTCTAAATCGGAATAATACATCTCATTCCTCTCGTTTTGGTTCGTACAGGATATCTGGCCGAGGTGGCACTGCAGTCTCGTGCTCACGACAAAATCAGAAGGTTCTAAATCTAAATCCTGGTCCAAGATTGACTCAGCTCATACTTAAGAGTATGAGCTCATACTTAAGAGTATGAGCTGCATCTCCGATTAGCATGGTTGGCTACGTACGTTGCGAACAAAGTTCAACATACCTCCATAAAATAGTGACTGCCCTATGGATAGACTGGTCATCACCGTAAGGAATGTGGAATTTCCACCATGGGGTCAGGGCAATCACTCGAGCACCACCGCTCTCGTCAGTAGGAACGTTGAAACACCGTCGACTTTGTCTCTCTCTGTACCACCCCCCTCCCCCCTCGCCGCAAGGTGTACGACACCGAACTGGAGAAGGTGGACAAGTTCGGGGGCCTCACTGACTTCTGCAAAACCTTCACGCTCTACCGGGGCAAGGCGTCCGGGGAGGAGGACGACCCGACCCCCGTGGGAGAGTTCAAGGTCAGTTGGATCGTGCAAGGACGTTATTCTCTGAACGAGTGCTCCAAGCGTGCATTTTCCCCATGCACATACTGTACACACATGCATGCACGCACACAAAGGTTCTTACGACTTCCTGCTAGATCAGTGGCCAGATGTTAACTCCCTCGCCTGGTATGGAGGAGGTTGTGGGTTCGATCCCGACCCTGACCCCTTTATATCTGGAGTTTACATGTTATCCCCGTGGTCGCGTGGATTTTTCTCCGGGTGCTCCAGTTTTTCCCTCCACATTTAGAAACATGCTTTTAGAGTATTTGTCTGCCATACATTTCACCACGATAAGCCACTTCGCTGAGCAATCATTTATGGCCAGGTCACTTCTGAGAAAGAGCTGCATAGCTCATTGGGCTTACCTGGTAAACATTTTTTTTTATTAGATCATGTAGCCATTACATCGACCCATGGCCAGCACTTTTGTCACCTCTGTGCTGATATTCGCCCACGACGCTGCCACTCCCAAGTTCGGGAGAGTTGACCCTGGTGACGATAATGTACGTGTGTTTACATGCTTGTCGTTATTCTATCGCACTGCACTACGAACCCGGTTGCACGTGTTCGATTCCCGCTCACGAACCAGAACAGTGGCGAATATTTGAACTGATCCTGGGCCTCCCCTAGGTCGACTCAACCTCAAATGTAAACATCAGCACTGGTTGAGACAAAGGCGGATGGGCGTGGCGTTGGCCACCCACCCCTCGGGTGCATTGACATCCGTCACAGGTGCTCGCTAATTACATTCTGCCCCAGCAGTCTGTTCGAGGGCATACGGGAGATCTTTGTGTTCGCGGTCATGCTGAACGTGCACGTGGCACGACAGGGCTCGTTCCGGATCTACCGCCTGCCCGAGGAGCAGGACGCGCCCTTCCCGCCCCGACAGTTCTCCCAGCTGCCCCCCAGCGGACCCCAGGAGTGCCAGGTGCGGGTCTACGTGGTGAGAGCCCTGGACCTGCAGCCCAAGGACTCCAATGGAAAGGTTTGTGCGCGCATGTGTGACGATAGATGGGGGATCGTTGCCCTTTGTGTGTGCACGCAACTTTTCAGTGAATGTTTATGTTTAGGTTCAAACGTCTATTAATTCCACACTATATCGCTGTGCCCTTGAGTTAATAATGATGTCTCCGATATAAAAACAATGAAATATATTTAAAAACTAAACCCCAAGACATTGCATATTTTTGGAGCTTTTCTGGTTTTGCACGTTGGAGTGAAAGCAAAATCACCATCTCAGGCCATTTCATTGAGGCTTTCTTTCTTAATAAGCCCCCAGTGTTATCATTATAGCTCTCATAGCTTCAGCTAACGACACCTCCTGCATGCAGCCCACTCACTCGTAGTAATAATAATAAAGCCTCGCTTCTCACCCCCTGCTCAGGGCAGGATCCCCTGCTGCTCACAACTACAGACCTCTTCATCTAAATGCATAGTGGGGGGCAATACGTACTTCGTTCAGTATTAAACAACACTTTTCTGCGTCTTAAATTCCACATTTCCTTACGACGCTTGCTCGAACGAGCATGTGCACGTGTTTTGTGTGCATCCTGTATACAACGTGGAGTGTTGAAAAGCTAAATATGTTACAAATCCATGAATCCAGGCTTCATTGACAAAAGGCCAAGGACAATTGCTATCTGAACTTCGCCTGGGTCAAGAGATGGCCTAGCCATTAAATTAGTATCTGATGCTACATATCACTTTAATATTAATGAGTTTTATTTAGACAGGAAAGTTTCAATTAATGTGAGTACTATATTTAGAAGTTTATTGCATTCAGATCTTTGAACAATTCCACGAATCAGTGTTGGGCATTTTGGAGGAAATCTGAATACCAGGAGAGAAAACTCATACATATGAGGGGATAACACTTGAAGCTCCGCACAGATGGATTCAATCCATTGCACGACTGTAATCAGTTGGCGGTGCATATGATGACAGCGCAGTATGGGTTAGGCATTCTTTTGTGCCGTGCTGATCTTTATTGGAACTTACGAACGGCACTTGCCCTGGCAGTAAGTAATTCTGAACAAAAGTTATTTGCGTGGAAATGTGTCCCTGTATGTGTGTGCGCGTGTACGTGGATTTTACGTGCGCATGACCTTGCTGCCCGTTTAGAATGGTTGCCTGCGCTGTATCGCTCTGGGATGTTGTATTCTCCAGTGCGACCCATACGTGCGGATCACCTTGGGCAAGAAGTCGGTGGACGACGCGGACCATTACATCCCCAACACTCTCAACCCCGTGTTTGGCCGGTGAGGCACCCGCGCAAATAGTGTTCACCTTATTGAAGCGCTTGGTAACACGTTGAAGAAAACAAAGCCTTAACAGACCGGGCGAAGACCCCGGGGCCGGCCCGAGACACGCTGGCGAGACCATGTCACTCGGCTGGCCTGGGAACGCCTGGGAATTGCCCAGGAAGAGCTAGAGTCTGTCGCTAGGGAAAGGGAGGTTTGGACCGCCCTACTCAATATGCTTCCGCCGTGACCCTCACCAGGACAAGGGTACTGAGAAACGAACAGACTGTAGGAGCAAGTGCTGTTTGCGAGCAGCACCTATGAAGGCCGGCACGACAACACGAGGGGTTGGGTGGCCATCACCACACCGGGCCGCCTTTGGCTCCCCAGTGGTGATGTTTGCACATCACATCAGGTACTCATTTGCGGCTGAGTCGACCTAGGGGAGGCCCAGAACCGAGTCAGATAATTGTCGCGGGTGTTGGCCTTGACCAGGAATCGAACTCGGGTATCTGGGTTTGTAGTGCAGTGCGCTAACCGCTACACGACAGCTCCCCACTCCATACATCGAGCAAGCAACCGGGGGGTGCAGGGAGTCACAAGCTGTCGGCCGAGATAGGAGCATCAACTTTGGCTGTCACACAATTACGACCCTCTTCAAATGTCAAAATATATAAACAATTACCTTGACATGTACAGGCCTTTGTCAATCGACTGCTGGTCTGCCCGCGCCATTTCAGCCACAAAGGTAGTTGAACAGATTGTGGGCGATGATGTGGAATGGTGGCGCAGTGTTTAGCTGTGCTACGAGCCTGACGATGCACGTTCAATTCACCCATTACCTGCACTGATCAGCCTGAGCAGCAAATTGTGTTATTGTTTTACTTTAACATTTGACGCTTCAAGATGATTAAATTTCTTGACGTATATCCGCAGTTTCCCTTTCAGGCAAATGTCCCGGCGCGTTCCATCATCTGCACGATGAGAGCTGCCTGGCAGCTCCTTTTTTCCTTCTTGTTTCCATGACAACTGAGGGTTTGAGCAAGTGGAATCAATACTAATACCTGTCCATTGCTCAGGTGAATATAGTTTTACCATCAGCATTAATAAACTGCAACAATTATCTACGTATTTGAAATATTTTGAGTAACGCGTCTTCTTTATAGCGAAGAGCAGGAGAAAGAGGGAATTGGTGACATTTGCGACGTAACTAACGACAACATTGTAAGTGCACTTTACAAACATAGCGTCTCTTCTTTTTGCTGTCCTGAAGAACGTTGATGCTTAACAATATTCGCTACTTCCTTTTCGAGGACAGCAGTGTCTGTTGATGGCAATGGTTATATATATGCTCCAAGCGTGGTGGTGTTTCATTCAGACGCTGTCGCCTCCACAGACCTGGTTTTCACCTGAGGACGGCTACTTGCGTTGTGGCCGAAACGTCGTGAGGATAATTTTATTATGTTTTATTTTTATTATTTTATTACTTCCCTTCTACGTGACTTTACCGAAAGAACCAAGAAGATGAATCCCTGCAGTCACGAAAGCTTTAAATCGAAATTTAATGGTTGTAAAGTTGTAAAGTGTGTTCAGCATGCACTGAAGCTCTACAGCACGAGCAACCCAATCCTGGAAGCGTTGTCAATGTCTAAATGTGTCAACGTGTGATTTCTTAAGTCGCGTGAACCAACGGGAAGACCATCTTGAATCCGCAGCAGCTTTGTAATATTGTAACCGCTCAGTTGAAGGCGATACGTATTAATAACAAACAAAACAAACGCGGTATCGTAAACGTAGGAAGAACGTCCAGGGGGGGGGGGCAACTCTGACAGCTCTCCTGCGGCATCTGGAGCTGGCCTCCGTGGTATCTCCTGCTGGGCATTGCTTTAATGCCACCATAAAATGCTCAAACCCTGACAGCTTACCCCAGCCATCGCGTCACTTGTTGTGCCAGGACACGTTCATCGATTATTTACGTGGTATTTACGCGAGCGCGTGCCCGCCCGTCCGCCCTTTACTTCTAGAAACCTGGTTCTCGTTTTCGGATGGGAGGTGGCTTCTTGGAAATGCTGTGGAGGGGGTGAAGGGATGAAGGAGGTGCTGGGGCTGGTGGGGGGGTGGGCGCTTTTCCCCGTCGCGAAATGCGAGCCATGCAGCAGTGGCGGCGCGGTGCTTAACGCGCCCTGATTGATCACACCCGAGCCGCTATAATAGTGCATTTCAGCGCGGTTGGGGGCCCGCCTTTCTTAGGCAGATAATTAAAGCAATCACGGCGTATGCGGCCGTTCGTCTTTGATCGTCAGTGTGTCCAGGTGCCGGCTTGCAACCCGCAGCGTGTGTTTTCAATTTATCGCGTGCACTTCGGGCCTTGATCTAATGGGCTTGGGTTGGCCATGACCTCGGCTCTAATGGGCTGGCCGGACGCAATGAACACTACAATTAAATTCAGTCTTCCTTATTTAGCCAGGTGCAAGCCCATTAAGGATCATTATTGTTTGTTTTTGACGGCAAGCTGGTAGACTTTGCTTTGTAGGGACATCATAAAAATGCACCCTTTTATGGTATGGTATGCCAGTTGTCAGTTAAAATGTCTTCCAAAATTGTAAATAAATGGTTATGCTGTAGATTAAGTAATTGCCAGTGCTTAAGGGTAGCTGACGTGTTAAAAAGATTGCATAATACTCAATAACGCCGTTGGATGAATGGAATTGTGGATGGAATCTGTTGGCGATCAAATTACTTCCCATTGTGATTGGGTCCAATTTCATCCACGGAATGTACTTCTCGTAGGTGTGACGTCTCAATAACCAACTATATCAATGTTAAACCTTCTCCCTGAACTATCTCGGATTCCCTGCACGACACATCATTGCACTGGGTAGTCTGGAGCAGGGGTCAGCTATTTACAGCGTCAGCATCCATTGTGCCGATACTGAAACCAAAATGCTGACGCTCACTAACGACCGCGAAGCCCAGTATAGGAAACCATAACAGTAATTGAATGCACCTTCATGACTTCTGATTATATCGGAGGCCCTTATTGGTCTATTTTTTACACAAAAATGCTTTCATTAAAATACATATGTATATATTTCCAGCAATTAAAATCCCAAATGCGTTCTCAGTCGTGCTATGAGACAAATCGATTTTCTTTGTTACTCATTAGTTGGCAATAAAAGCAAAAACAATAAAATACACATTTTAATTGGAATGCATTTTTTCACTTTGCTTGTTTATTTGGGATTTTAATCGTGCTATGGGGGGTGGGGGGGGGGGTCATGCAGCGACCCCAACAACGGAACACTCTGGGCCGTCAGGAACTTCAACTCGCGTCAGGACTTCTAGAGACGAGGACATGACGGTACTGCGATAGCAATCAATTCAATCGGCCCTCATCACCCGGCACTCAGCAGACATGCATTTTGCTCTCTCAAGAGCAGTTCACTGCATGACTGTCAATTGTTGTGTCTGCAAACTGGAGTCCTCAAAGTTGATTTCACATGAACGCGATCATCAAGCAAAGTTTACACAATGTGGTAATATTATGCATTGTTTGGTGGCGGGGTTGAGACCATTAATTCACTCGTAAAACTTGAGAGCTTGGTTTAATATTGGTGCCTGGCTGGATTTGAATCCTGATTCTTCCTCTAACTTGCCGAGTGCTCGAACGTCATCTTATTCTCCCGAGCTACCTGACTACATCCCTAAGGTACTCCCATTTTAACATTTAACTGCAGTTTACAGTCACTTTCTTTAGCTACTGCAGCAGCAGTAGAAGCAACATCACCAGCAGCAGCAGCAATGGTAACATCATCATTACCATCACCTTCATCATCATGATGATTCGCATAATCATCAATACCATCATCACAATCAACATTACTGTCACGATGGTGGATTGATTGCCAAAATAGCTCAATGAATCGGGCCCCCTGTCTTTGGCGGTTGTGTGGACAACTCCACAACTGGATTTGGCCCCGGACTCTGTGTGAGTGGGGCTTCCCACCCACCTGGTCGGCACTTCTCTGCCTGCAGACGGCATTTACCAGCGGATTATTCCATTACGCTCCCTACAATTCCTCTTTTCAGGTGTGAACAATCGAGGGAAATGATGTGAGATGGTAATGCAGCGCAGTCGTTTGGCTACCTCTGTTGGCAGTACTTGCCATGAGGACTGTGTAAAGGCCTCTAACATCGTGCACTGAGGCTCCGTGTGTTGGGCCAGCTGAGGCACATTTGAACGATCGTCTAGAAATAAAAAATGTTGGAGGCCTTAATGTCCCATCAATCATATTAACAGGTGGGAGTAGACATGCAGGTTCATGATCAGTTGTCCCTCATGGGAGGTACTGCGATGGTCAAAATTATCTGCAAACCTTCATGCAGTCTTGGAAGATATGCTTGTCTGTTTAGAAAGTACAACAGATAGCCTATATCTGTTTAATGTTTCCGTAACTTAATTTGTAACTGTACGATGATAATTCTAACTATAATTTGGCCAACGCGAATTGCGCTGCAGGGAATGTATTATTTAACAACGATGTAAGTGTGTTCAGTACTTTCTGTTTTTCACGAGACAGAACAAAAACAACACACAGCTGCTCGACTTGATTTAACTTTTTTTTATTTTGTCACTTTGGCGACACCAGGTCACGAGACTCTTCGTCCTGGCATCTTTGAGTTTCACCTCATCTGGTTAAACAAAATCAACCTGAAACTTGGCAGATTGTGGGCAACAAAATAAGAAATATGTTGATAGATTTGGTAGCGTTTCCTTGCCTGAATAAATAAAGAACAAATAAAAGTGCGTGGGTCTTCTAATTGAGGCTGTTGCGTGGCATTTGTTTTACGCCAAGCCCTGGTCCAGTTCGAGGATCTCTGTAAGAATTCATGTTTCTTGAATCCATTATAAAACAAAAATGTCGAATGATCTCATACAAGACCCTCCTGAAAATGAGTAATGAGAGGCGTTCTTGTTTAAGCAAACAAGACGTTGTTGACAACATCGGCCAGGCTAG